CCTTCCTTTCCAGTTGTCCAGGGCTTTTTAGCCAATTCGGCCATCTCTGAAAGCATGCTGGAGTTCTTTCTTGAACGGTTTGCTTGACAGGAATATTTGGTCTTGTCTCTCACTGGGGTTGTTTGGTGCCAATTTATTTGAAAGAAACATTAAGAGATATGGAGAACTAGCACCACGTCTGGGAGAAAGTGAGAAGTGAAAATTCTATCTTGGAACTCCTGAGAGAAGTTTGGATCACAACATGGCCTACTTATCTAAAAACGCACTCTGATTTTTTTAAAAATAATTTTTTAGTTGTAGATGAATACAATACCTTTATTTATTTATTTACTTCTATGTGGTGCTGAGGATCAAACCCAGTGTCTCCCAAATGCTAGGCAAGCACTCTACACTGAGACACAAACCCAGCCCTAAAAACTACTGATTTAATGCAACTGTACAACTCTTTTATACATTTGTTACCTTGACGATTGTCATAACAAGGTTAATATGTGAAGGCTACAGCAAAGACTTACCCACCCAAGATAGGAAGTTTGGGAGCTAAAACTATTCAGAGCTTTAATTTCAAAGGGTCTGTTTCAATCCCCCACCTTTAGTTCACCCCTTTATCTTGAGGAAATTGGGGTGCATTTTATAGGTAAGACACAGTAATGCTGCCAGGCGTGGTGGTGCATGCCTGGAATCCAAGCTACTCAGGAGGCTGGGGTGGGAGGATCGCAAGTTCAAGGCCAGCATGGACACCTTAGCAAGACCCTGTCTCAAAATAAAAAATTTAAAAAAGGGTTGGGAGTGCAGCTAAGTAGTGGAGTGCCCCAGGGTTCAATTCCCAGTGCCACCAAAAACAAACTAGTATGCTAAACCACCTAGTTAAAGGGTTTTCCTTAGTGTCACTAAGTTTTTCTCCTGATGGTATCAAATCCATCCCATAATCAGTCCTGCTAAATAACCCAATTGTCATTTGCAATGGAGTCCAGATCTGCCCAAGCCCCTCCCGAAACGGGTCAGACCCACTTTCCACCATACATGTAATTCTGTAGTATTTTATCACTTTATATAGGACAAACCTTCCTTTTTGGGGGGGTGGGGGTAGAGGGTACCAGGGATTGGACTCAGGGGCACTCAACCACTGACCCACATCCCTAGCCTTAGTTTGTATTTTATTTAGAGACAGGGTCTCATTGATTGCTTAGCGCCTTGCCGTTGCTCTGAACTGGGATCCTCCTGCCTCAACCTTCTGAGCTGCTGGGATTACAGGCACCTGGCAGGATGAAGCCTTTCTTTTGAGCAGTGTCTCCTATACAGAGGAAATGTGGGGCCTGCTGTGTCTGGCCTGGAGGGGAGGGGCAGAGGCCTTTGGAGGGCAACTCCCAAGCGCACAACGAAGGTGATTTCCCTTGGACCCTTTTTTTTAATATGCCACTGGAGCAAACTCCACCCCAAGTTCAGCTGTAAGTACATTCACACACATGGATATGAAATTAAAAGATTTAATGACATTATTTATGTTTAACAAATAGCTCAGAAAACAAAACCTGATACCTTTAAGCTCTCAGGCCAAAGGAGATACGTCATATCCCTTCTCCATTTCAACTAGGAGAATTTAATTAAAATAAAATTATTCGATTTTAGTTTAATCTAGTACCAAATGCAGATAATACGGGGAACAATCAAAAAATATATAACCAAGGTCCTGGCACACATTCTATGAGATAAGCTTTTTTAAACGATTATTTTTACTCATCTATAGTTACCAAACCAACCCCAGGATTCACCAATGGGCCTACCATTTTAGCCCAAGTAAAATTCACACAGTGGCTAGTGAGATAAGACCAAGATTCTCAACCTCAGCACTGGTGCATCTGGGGCCAGGTCATTCTTTTTTATGGGGACTGTCCTGCGCACTGCAGGGTGTTGAGCAGCATCCCATTAGATGCCCGCAGTACCTCTAGTTGAGAACTGCAGGGTCAGACAGAGAGTCTACAACCAGCACCAACTGAATAAGTTGTGAGGCGCAACCTGTGCCAGCTTCACCAACCCAGAATGAAGCCTGGAGGACAGACTAGAGGGGGTCAGAGAGGAGGAGGTACATGGAGTACCACTGAGTCTTACCCACCTTGAACTACACTCCAGTTCAACTCAAGGCTCAAGAAGGAAACCTGGCTTACAAAGGTAAAGAACCCGGGAAGAGATGGGCCTACCGACTTGACTGTGTTACACAGAGGGTGGGCTGGGCCAGGAGGAGATCCTCTCTATTGGCTCTGGGCCTTTGCATGTCCTGACCCCTCACTCCATCGCAGTCACTTCTCTTCCTACTCCAACTGGCTCATCTTACCCTTCAGGTCTCAGCTTCATGTCACTTCCTCCTGGAAAGGTTCTGGTTCCTTTCCCCAGGGCCCACCTGCTCTGGATGGCCCACTTAGTGGCACCTGGCATCCACACTTCTCCAGGCGCAATACTTATCACCTACTGCACATGTCCCCTGTATAGGTAAATGAACTCAGCAGGTTTAGTTTTCTGTTTGATACTCCCATGACTCCACGAGGACAGGGACCCTGCCCTAGCAAATGTCACACTCTCCCCAGAACCTGTCAAGACACCCGATACATGGAAGATGTCTCCTCCCAAATGTTTGCTGAAATGACAAAAGATATCACTTTTCACTGAAGGGCAAGGGAGGGCCAATAAGTGAGGCTCATGACAATGGAATTAAGCACGTGGTCACCGTGGCCAACAGAGCCATCAATGTGTAAGCTCACTTATTTCTGCAAAGGTGACAAGACTAGAGAGTACCAGGCAGAAGCAAATCCCAAACAACGATATGGAAAACGTGCGGGTCTCTGCTTTTAGCCACATAGATTTGGAGTGTTCACCAGTCTCTTATTGTGATACTTCTTTTGGACAGATGTTTTGTATCCTGAACCAAATCACATACCTGCCAATGTGTCGATGACATTTACCAATGACAGCTGACCACTAAACCAGCGTTATAAGGAGCGATCGTTTACATATCAATGGGGAGTACCACGGGAGAGCGAGGGCCAACCAGGACCCCTCGAGAAATGGATCATGTCTGTATTCAGAAGGCACATGCCACAGTCGCCCCGTGGGCAGCAGGCCAACTGCTGACATCTGTTCTGTGTAGTGTCCCTCACCATTGCCAGCTTCCAACAGCAAGAACACAGAGACATTTCCATCTAACTTTTGTATGAAGAATTTAATTATCTATACATGTAACTAATTCAAAAGGTTGTATTACAGTTGTTAAAGCCGCAGGTTTATATATTTATATATTTTACATTCATATCGTGAAAATACTGCAGCGCAGGCGGACGAGGAGGAGCTGTCCTCGTCCTCTGCACCGTGCAAGTGGAGGACTCCACACAACCGCCAGCACAGAGCCTCTCGAGACGTGAACACAGAAGAGACAACGTGTTACAGAGTCATTAACAGGATAGCTGGGTTGTGCTTGAGCCCCCCACCCCACCTCTGTGCTGTCAGCAACTGGCGTTTTTATTGAGAGCTTTCAACGAGTGTTTAAGAGACAAACATGGCTTCAGCTACAGCATGGCTAACACATGAATGACCATGAGCTCCAATTCATATTAATCTGTAGAAATTCCACAGTCTAGTTAAAAAATGTAAACATTGGAAATTAATTGCAGGGAGACTTCTACACATTCTTTCTTGTCAGGAAAATTACTTGTTCAAAATGTGTCATTCCAACAAAAGTAATTGGAATAAAAACTTCATGTAACAGAGACTAGAGAGACTATAGACACTGTGGATTGGTATGAAAACACACAAAATTAAAAACCCCAAACAAAACACCAACTCAACCAGATAAATCTGAGACCAAACAAAAACATAGGTGCTTTCTCATGTGGCTACAAGGTCACTGTGCAAAATAAAATTAATGCAATGTGGTTAGATATCATACAAGAGCGTTTGCCATGGGGAGAACTCATTTCTTATGTACAGGATGGATTACATGCGCAACGAGTACATCTGATACACACGAGCACAAAACACCTTCTTTTTAATTGGGCTCACTCTACACATCTTCAAAACATACACTGAACTCCTCTGTACTGCTACGGTAGGGGGGAAAAAACCCCAAACTACACAATTTAGTTGGTAACACTGGACAAAATGAAAAATACAAGTCTCAGATTTATGGACATTTGGAACAATTTTTAATAGCACATGCAGCATTCCTTGATAGTGGGTCTTTTTGCAAAACCAAAATAGCAAAGAAATGATTGATTGATTGATTTTTATTAAAAGGCTAAAATATATATACTTAAAAATAATCTTAAAACTATTGAAAGCACCTGTGCAAAGGTGGGGGAAGTCAATTTGAGTAACTAGGAAAGCCACAAAAGGACCCACTACCCTGTGTATTTTTGTAATTTTTGCTTCTGTCTCTGCAAGTAATAACTCAAACATTGCGATCACATGCAACTACGGTAAAATGAGGTAAACTGCTCTGCAGTGAGTTCTTCTACTCAGAAGGCAGTAGGTGATCATGCTGGAAGTCACATGATCAAGGCTGCATCTCCCATCATCCCTCTGGGCAGTGATATGGGATAGTGGGTCTCTTTGAGGACTTTCAAGCCTGAGGGGGGGATGGACAACATATGATTCCTAGAAAAAGGAGGAAAACAACACATAAGCAAAACAAAACAATGAGCAAAATTCAAGCTAGGAAAATGAGTTGGGCATGTCAACAGCATGGTGCCAAATGATTTAAAAAAAAATAGGAAAAAGGGGGAGGGAAGGGAGGGGACATGCTACAGAAGGAATGAAAATTTAAAACAAAAACAAAACAACCCCACGAGATAAAGTTTTGCATTACAGAAGGTCTTCAAAGAGACGGTTGTGAATGCAGCAGTGGTCTAGCTTTAAGTTCTGCAAACCAAGCTCAGCAGAATCAGAGCAATGCTGCATGTTTCACTGGAAGGTACCAGAGAGGAGAGGAACAGAGCCACCAGGGCACTTACATTGCTGGCTTGGGTCCATGTCTGTGGTCAGCTTCACATAGTTGGATGGGAAGAGCCCCACTTGTCCATTGACTTCCCCTTTCCACCAGTCGGGGTCCTCCTTGTTGAGGACGTTGATGATCTGGCCCTTGCTGAAGGCCAGCTCGTCGTCATTCTGCGCAGTGTAATCGTACATCCCGATCACCTGGCACACTGCAGAAGACAGGGCTGGGTGAGCAGCTGCACACCCTCCCTGGCACATGTGTGAGGGGCTACTTGTGGCCAGCAGACATTTTCACAGATTATTTTTGCCCTTTCAAAAGAAGGTACTGTGAGCCGGGCATGGCAGCACACCCCTGTAATCCCAGTGGCTCGAGAGGCTGAGACAGGAGGATTGTGAGTTCAAAGCCAGCCTCAACAAAAAGCGAGGTGCTGAACAACTCAGTGAGACCCTGTCTCTAAATAAAATACAAAACAGGGCTGGGGTTGTGGCTCAGTGTTTGAGTGCCCTTGAGTTCAATCCCCGGTACCAAAAAAAAAAGAGCGAACAGTGAAGTGGAAGTGCCCCAAGGGGCTTTTCATGGTGCAGGCAATAGAGGAAGATGAAGGATCAAAACTAAGACAACAGCAAAATTTTCACACTACGCCCTTGGTTTGTACATCTTCCTCTTTTTTGGGTTTACTTGTCAGCAGAAAATTTAGAGTGATAACCGGGTCTCTGGCTTTGGACGTGGTGGAGCTCCTTCTAATGCTGACTAGAGGACACTTGCCAGCTTCCGCTGTATGGGACAGCTGGGGACTGTGGGACTCCACTGTCACTTTTACTTCTTTCTCTCTGTCATTTCCTGTGTGTGTGTTACTGCAGATGGAACCCAGGGCTTCATGCAAGTAGACAAGTGCTCTTCCACTGAGGCACATCCCAGCTCCTTCCTTTTTTTTTTTTTAAAGGTGAAAGGCAATTATTATCTGACCTTCAAAAACTTCCAAATCTTAGTGTAAAGTAAAATTGGGTGTTTTAAAAAATTTTTCTGCTTTATCTTTGTGTCTCAAAGAAATTTTCACATGTCAACAATTTTTCTCCTTTTCTCTCAAATCTACAGGAAGTTAAATTATTTTCATTCTCTGCCATCTTGACACTTTGGAGAAGTCTGCACCGTTGGGTCACAGTCTCCAATTAATCTTTCATAGCCATCTTTGTATAGGTTCAGGGTTTTCAACCCTCCAGTTAGCTAAATTAATCACCTCAACAGATAAATTCAGTGGGTTCCAATCTACCTGATGAAGGGGGCTGCACACTGACAATAGGGGGCACCAGATTTCCCCAGGGGACAGTGGATACAGCTGGTACTATACCCCTCTGCCTACACAGGTCTCTGTTTGAGGAAAGAGGCCCAGCTGGGGTCAGGACTCAGGAAGTTTACCAATCCTTCAATTTCTTGCAAAGGCTGCCAAATTTTAATCTTATTTCACTAAAGACACCATGTAGACATTTAACCACAAGGTAATGGAACAAAAATTTCATGTTTCCCACAAATGCCACCTAAGAACTGGTGTCTAAAAGACCTAAAGCAGCAATTTGCTCCCTACTCTCACCTCTCTCAAATGTTACTGAAGCATCTAATTTAGTCCTTTAGGTCAGAAAATAGTCAACCGGGTCAACTGCAGTGCTGTCCTTTTTAGTTCTCTAGGAAAGCCTGCACAACATCCTGCCCATTCAGCGAGGCCCCCTCTGTTCACAGTAAATGTCACAGGGAGTTATTTCAGTCTTCTGTGAACACACTGCAACCAACAGATCCTCGTGGCCTCCAGCTCCATCTCCTGACCCTATCTAGACCCCAGCCATTTATTTTTAGGAGCCCCTCTCTGCGGCCTCATCCACTAGTCCAAATCTCAATTTAAATAGCTGGAAGGAAATCAAGAGAAAAATCTGGCTTTAATGCCACAGCATTCATGACTCCTTCAGGAGAAGAGTTCCAACAAGGGCTCTGTTGTGCCCAGCACAGTCAAGCTACTTAGATATTAGTCCTTTTGAAAAGCATTCTGTATCACATTAGCTGGGGGTCAGTTCCAGAAGTACAAGAAGTGCTTAATGCACATGTGAAAAACAATTTAAAATACTTAATGAGAAGGCTGCGTGGGAGAACTGAAGTGACACGCATGCAGGTCATTTTTCAATGAGACTGAGAACTCCTTACCTGCCGGCAATGCCGCTGACTTGGGCAGCTCTGTCGGAGTGATTTTGCTTGTCCCAGGGCTTAGAAGTTTGACATAATTAGCTGGGAACCAGCCTATCTGGCGTTTCTTCCCACGTGCCTGGTAAGAAAATAATTGGATCAAAAACTTATAAATGTTCATCTTCTGTTATGATACAATTTGCTTTGTAGCAGAACACTTATGCAAAGTTTATATAGAACTGAAATACAAATGGCATAAACAGTAGAATCTATGGATTACCATGACATAAAAATAAGATGTTGTTGTGAAAATTCAAACAGTCACAGCCATTGGTCAGCAAAGCCTGAAATGGCTTTAAAAGGACTGGATCCTGTGGATTTAAAATTCAGAATATTCTGTGGTGTGTCTAAGACAGAAAACTAGTTAGTACTTAGCTACTAATTTCAGATAATGTGGAGATTATAGTTAATCCCAACATTACATTTGGGTTTTAGGGATAAAAACAATGATGGCCATCAAAACACACTAAGTGCTTTTTATGAGCTCTGCCAAGCATCTTATATCCATTTATTCACATAGTTCCAAAGGGACAATGCTATTATCATTCCCAAGTTCAAGGAAGAAAGTGAGCTTGGAAAAGGTATATGACAGTCCAAAGGCTAGGGGTTGGTAAGTGGTAAGCCAAGAGTTACATGCCTGCACTCTTTGTAATAATACACCCTAAGATGCAAAAAGATGTAGATGCAGGACCCACAGATCACAAGAAGTCTCAACTTCACACTGTTTTCAAAACACTATCAGGCTACAGCCACATTTTCACTGTCACTCTTTTCTCCATTGCTCAATCTGATTCAATACAAATTCCATCTACTGAGTGCTTACATTTGAGATAATTGTCGGAAAGAGTTCACACATGACATGAAGAGCTTATAATTGGTGAGCCAAAGCTTGCAATTGCAATACAGTTCCACGTAAACAGACAGACACCCACCCAGGCTATCTCTAGAAACAAGGCCCTGATGAAAGCAGTTGCCTTTGAGGACAGGGGGTTTAAAGGGAGAGATCTGAATCCCTTTTAGTAACTTCTGAAATTTAAACCACATGAATAATACCTATTCCCAAAACAAGGAAATAAAACTAAGAGAAAAACTTCTATCACCCTACTTCTGCCCTCCCATCCGCCAACTTATTAAGGATATCTCTGGGTTACTTTTTTTTTTGGTACTGGGGATTGAACCCAGGGGTGCTTAATCACTGAGCTTCTACCCTTTTTTAATATTTTATTTTGAGACAAAGTCTCGCTGAATTGTTTAGGGCCTTGCTGTTGCTGAGGCTGGCTTTAAACTTGTAATTCTTCTGCCTCAGCCTCCCACGCCGCTGGGATTACAGGCCTGTACCACTGTGCCTGGCCCTCTGAGTTATTTTCAGGGTGTACATTTGGTTTCACCCTCCTTGTGTCTGACAGTCTCCATGCCCCTGGCTCAAAGACTAAAGCATTTACTCTCATGGTAAATCTGCCCAACATTTCAAAAAAAAAAAAGTTTACACAATTGCACGTTTATCTATCTACAACTGCAATGAATTCTCTTTGTCCCCACCTCTGCAATTCTACAAAAACAGAAAACAGAGCCTGTTGATAATTTCTTCATTTGTCAATCCAGGCCAAGAGGGACTCTGTAAAGCACCAGAAGCTATCCTGGGCATGGGAATCCATTTTACAGAGGGTTCCAAGAACCACCAAAACTCTCTTTGAGCAAGGTGTTAGGAGATAAGCACTAAAAATGTGCTGCCTTTATAAAGAGCTGGTTGCCTACACATGGAAATAACTACGGGAAAGCTAAGAAACATACCAACGTCATCTGTGGAACACCAGGGTGAAGCTAGCAGGGGACCATTCCCAAATTCAGGGGAAAGGAGGCAGTGCTTCTGGCTGAGATGGCCCAGAAAGCCTCTAGAGGAAGTGGGCTTTGGCTAACTCTTGAGAAATCAGAGGGGGTCAACCCCTTAGGGAGGAATGTTAGGAGCCAAGGCAGCTAAGTACAAGAGCCCGATGTTGGTGGTTTTAAACAAATTGTCCAATAAGTCTGGAATGGTTGCTAAAGAGTGTAAGGTGGCACAGGGAAGAAGGGGCACAACAGGAAGTCTCCACAGGCAGGCTGAAGGGGAAAGGCAATGGGAGCCACTGAGTCTTCAGAGAAGGAAAGGAACATGTAGATGGCAAGGCCAGTGGTAACGGTCTCCCTGGCATGAGCAAGCCCTCTCCTCTCCCTGCCCAGTGCAAAAACAGGCACATTACAAAGCAGAGTGGATTTCCAGGACTCCAAAGGTCAGATCCCTCAGCCAGGAAGCTGTATCTAGCAAGCGCTTCTGGACAGGGTTTTTATGGCTGCTCACCAGCGACCTCCCAGGGAACTTTCACCACTAGGCACACTCCCGGCTACCATGCCTTCTCTTCTAATGGACAGTCTTTAGTCCAGAGGGAACAGTATGTCCAGCTCACCACAGTATGGATCTTCCCCTACTCAGCCAGGGTTGGTCTGGACAGAACAGTGAGCAGAGGACTTTCTTCAAGTCCTCCTTCCTTCCTGAGCCACATGCCTCCCATTTGGGCTGCTCTAATCCCTGCTCTTCAGTACCTGTTGAGGTGCCCTCCACAGCCAGCACCCTGTAAGCAAACTTTCTCTTTCCCTCCCCCATCTTGGCTATCTGCAGAGTCCTGCTCAGGGCCAGATGAAAGGCACAGATGTGACAACCAGCCCACAGCACACCAGTGGACACCTGAGGATCACTGCAAGCTCCTTCCTTAGGACAGTAGGGTTCTCATAAAAGGGATTCTAGAAACTACTTGTTCACATGCTTGGCAAGTACTGAGGCCCCAGTGTCATGCAGCAGGCCTCAAGATTGACTCCATAAAGGAAGATCTCAGTGTACCTTACCACACATATCCCTTCTGCACAAAGGCCAGAAGGCTAATTGGGAAACTTTCCCTTTGGCAGGTCCCTAAGGGCTGCCCATGTGGGTAAGCCAGGGAGGACGCTGTCCTTTACACTATGCTATGAAGCAAGATGGACCTTGGGTCGCCAAGGCTGGTCTTCACTTTCGTAGTGGAGGAGGTTGCGTGTAGGAGGCAAACACTTCCTGTTCAACAGTCAGCAGACTTATCTGTCAAGTACAGCTGTCCTTAAGTATCTGGGAGGAGGAGAGTGGTTCCAAGACCTCTCCAGATTCCAAAATCCAAGGATACTCAAGTTTCTTATATACAATGACATATATTTTCATATAACCTGTGCACAACCTCCTATATATTTTAAACCATCTGTAGATTACTTATAACACTGAATACAATGTAAATGCTATGCAAATAGTTGTTACACGACTCGGTTTAGAGAATGACAAGAAAAAAAAAGTCTTCTCATTTTCAATACAGATACAAATTTTTCTCAATTTCAGTCCATGGTTGGTTGAATCTGTGGATGTGAAGCCCATGGCTACAGCCATGTAATTTTGCTATAGAAGTAAATTTTTAAAGCAACTTTTTATTTAGAAATAATTTCAAGTCCTTTGTGTATAGACCAAGGAGAGGGATAGTTGGGTCAAATGGTGGTTCCATTCCCAATTTTCCAAGAAATCTCCATACTGTTTTCCATATTGGATGCACCAATTTGCAGTCCCACCAGCAGTATGAGTGTGCCTTTTCCCCCACATCCTCACCAACACTTATTGTTGATCGTCTTCATAATAGCTGCCATTCTGACTGGAGTGAGATGAAATATTAGAGTAGTTTTGATTTGCATTTCTCTAATTGCTAGAGATGATGAACATCTTTTCATATATTTGTTGACTGATTGTATGCATATCATCTTCTGAGAAGTGTCTGTTCAGGTCCTTGGGCCATTTATTGATTGGGTTTTTTTTTTTGGGGGGGGGGGTTGGTGTTTATCTTTTTGAGTTCTTTATATACCCTAGAGATTAGTACTCTATCTCACTATTAGTGCTCTATCCTCAGTCTATACCCAAAGGACTTAAAAATAGCATACTACAGGGACACAGCCACATCAATGTTTATAAAAGCACAATTCACAATAGCTAAATTGTGGAACCCACCTAGAAGCCCTTCAAAAGATGAATGAATAAAAAAAAAAGTGACATATATACACAATGGAATATTACTCAGCAATAAAAGAGAATAAAATCATGGCACTTGCAGGTAAAGAAGATAATGCTAAGTTAAGTTAGCCAATCCTAAAAAACCAAATGCCGAATGTTTTCTCTGATATAAAAGGAGGCTGATTCATAGTGGGTAGGGAGGGGAAGCATGGGAGGAATAGGCGAACTTTAGATAGGGCAGAGGGGTGGGAAGGGAAGGGAGAGGGCAGGGGGTTAGAAATGATGGTGGAATGTGATAGACATTATTATCCAAAGTACATGTATGAAGACACAAATTGGTATGAATATACTATGTATACAACATATGAAAAATTGTGCTCTATATATGTAATAAGAACTGTAATGCATCCTGCTGTCATATATAAATAAAAAAATTAATTTAAAAACTGGAAAAAAAGAAATAATTTCAAACTAACAGAAAAGCAGCAAGAACAAGAAAAGTATATAACACCCTTTACTTAGATTCACCTGTTATTAACATTTTATCCCATCTGTTTCATTATTTGCACATTCTCTCTCCCTCCCCCCATATCCTCTTCACCGTAATTTCTTTTTCAGAATTACCTGATTACAATTTGCTTACATTATGGCTGGTTACCCCTAAATAATTCGATGGGTATTTACTAAAAATAGGAATAGTCTCTCATAGGACCATAGTATGGTTTTCAATTTTAGTAAATTGGTATAATAATTTTATCTAAGCCAGGCTCAATGATGCCTATCTACAACCATAGTTACTCAGGCAGTTGAGACAGTATGATCAGAAGTTTAAGGCCAACCTAAGCAACTTAGTGAGACCCTGTCTCAAAAATAAAAGGGTCGGGATGTATCTCAGTGGTACAGTGTCCTGGGTTTCATCCCCAGTACCAAAAAGAAAATTTTTTATCCAACCTGGTGTCCACATCCCAGTTTTGTCCATTATCGCAGTAACATCCTTAAGAGCATGTTTTTGTCTCATGTGGGATCAAGTCAGATATTGCCATCAGCAGTCATGTCTCTTTTATCTCCTTTCTATGAGTTTTGTCATTGACGTCTTTGAAGAATACAGCCTCTCCCTGCCCCCTTAATTGGATATTCCTTATTCTGAGTTTATTTAATGCTTCTGCATGATTAGACTCAGTTGATGCACTCCTAGCCACAATAGTATGTGACACTGTCTTTTTCAGGTAGCATGTTTGGATGAATATTACGTCAATTTGTCCTCACTGGTGAAGATCACTTTAATCACTTGATTAGAGTGGTAACTTAGTTCTCAATGGTAACTTAATTACTGTGCAAATTATATGTGGTCTCTCTGTGGGAGTCACTCAAAGACCATAAGCAATTTCTATCCTTACTAAAAACTTCCCCTTAGGTTTGGCATCTAATGACGATTCTATTAATCTTTACAATGCTGATGTGACAGAAACCCTTTTAAAACTATTATTTCCTCTTGAAAGACTTAAAGAGGTTTCTGGAATGGCAACATGAATAACAAGCTATAAGAATAACAACAACGCCACCACAAACACACAAACTAAAAACAGCACGATGTACAGATGTGGCTTTATATAAAAAGGAACCTGCTACTGCAACGTGCTTCCTGAAACGACTGATGAGATGCTCCACTTTAGGATGCCAGGACCTCAAGGACAGCTCTACCTAGGCATCTGTCATCCTATGAATTCTCACTGTACCAACAGTGAATCGAGTGATTTGAACTTGGAAACTGATTGGATGAAATTTATTTATTTATTTATTTTTGGTACCAGGGATTGAACATGGGGTGCTTAACCACTGAGCCACATCCCCAGCTTTTTTTGTTTTGTTCTGAAACAGGGTCTTGCCAAGTTGCTGAAGCAGGCTTTGAATTTGAAATCCTCTTGCCTCAGCCTCCCAAGTTGTTGGGATTATAGGTAGGCGCACAGGGCCTGAAAGGATAAATTTTAAAATGAATTCCTAGTTTTTAGAATTCAGACATTGCTACTGGCTGGCTGAAGCTTAGGAACCAGATTCAGATAAAGTGGTATTTCTCATTATTCAAATGCAAGATTTAGGCAGTGATTGGTTCTTTGTACTTTGCAATAAAATACTGCCCCCATCTTGTATATTCAAACAAATTAGAATTTTACATAAATAGAAAAAAAAAAAAAAAAAACTAACTTGCAGCTCTCCTTCCCACCATCCACCTGGGTTCTTTTTTCGAATCAAAATTAGCTGACCAGGGGCCAAGGTAAGTTGCTCAGGACCAGTGGCGGTATATGAAGCAATAACTTGAGCAATTTCTGAAAAACAAGATCAAACATTGCAGCATACTGTTAAGAGTCAGGATATGGAAACACTAAGAAATCACAGCCACCTCCCATAGTCTCAGATCAGCATCGTCAAAACCAGCATATGTGGCTGATTTTCTACTGGATGAGGGAGACTGAATCCCTCCCCACTGTAGCCCCTTCCCCTAGCTATAGGGCAAATGCAGCGTTCAAGGGGCTTGGCCAATCCTTCTGTTGGGCTGTCTTCTGTTACTCCCTCATTGTCTCAGAACTTACCAGTTCCTGCCATGAAGCCTGCTCCTGCCCACAGCCCCTCTTTAGCTTCCCAAACACCTGATACCAAGGGTTGGGCCTCACTCACCCACCCCACCCACCAGTGCTCAGTGAATAGAGGAAGTGTTCCCTCTGCCAAATACTTAGAGAAATTCTATTTTCCTCAAAAACCATCGGAAGCCTGGTAGCATCGAATTTCTATGTTGTGGCTTCAGACTCTCCCTCCTACCAACAAGACCATTTTCTTTATGGCTCACATTTGGGGGTGATCCCTGAACTGGTATGAATCATAGCAATGCAAGTTTACGTCTTTTTATGTCAAGTTAAAGGAAGGACCTGGAATTAAGAAGGGAATTTAATAAAAAAAAAAAAAAAAAACAATAATTCAACATACAAAAAAATGCAAACAATTCTGTACATTTCCTGAATATTAGAAATCCCACAGAAAAAAATTCCAGCAGGACCAGCCCAGGCACTGAAAAGCAAATTTCTGCTAGCACCAAGGTCAAGTATGAAAAGACAGACTCCTGCTCTGATGAATTCTAGCACATTTACAGCCACAGCTTCCTGAACTTCTAGAAGCAATCAGAACAAACTGCTCTATTCCTCTACTCTCACTCTCGGTCATAATGGTTCCTAAAAGAACAGGGCAGAGCAAGGAAGGATAGAAGGAAGATGAAGTAGAGAAAGATGAAAAGATAAAGGCCCCCTACTCTGATATGATCTCCTACTTTTCCACTAACTCCAGGGAAGGAATAAGATTGCAGCACTTCAGCCACCTGCCACTGCCCTGTTCTACAATCCAAGGTTGACGACTATGACAGGAGCACCAACCTGTCATGGGGCAGCCCTGGCCTGCCAGATGCTTCAGAGAACTCAGGGAAGTCCAGAGTCACCTTCCAGACAGTTTGGCTCTGCCTGAGAGCTCTTGCCCAGAACTACACGGGGATGAGGACTCTCCTGCAATGTGCCAAGGACAAGCTCTGGACTCCAACAGTTTTCAGTCTGGAGAAAGTCCCAGTTACTATCCTACTTGGCAACTGATATTTCTGCTCTTCAAAGGACCTGGCATATGAGTCAGCGGTCTACCCTGACATTCTCTGCTTCCTCTTGTGTCTCTGAGCAGCTTGCTAGTTCCAGTGTAAAGTTAAGTTCACCTGGGCATCACATATGAAACATCCGGACCCTTTGGAATGACAAACATTGAAAAGGTAGAAAGAAGACTCACAATTAAAGCAGAGATTTGGTCAGATGGCCCACTATCTGGAGTCTGTCTAGAAACCTAAACACCCTGAAACCCCTTCTTTTTCTGGCTGAGTAAGCCCATCTGATGTGAGCACCAGACGGACACACAAATTCCTCAGCACAGCAATGACTGTTTCAACCTATAATTTCCTAAGGATATGAAGACAAAAAAGCACAAATAACTTAGACCAGGAAGACAGGCCACACAAACCATATTATTTCACATTGCTTCCTTCTGCTCTCTTTCAAGCTACTATTTTTAGAACATGTGATTTTGTTTAAATAAACTAAAACTAAACATAGAGGTATGACTATAATTTTGAACCTCCAATGTCCACCTGAGGAAAACCACCCAATCAATAGCTTCTAAATTAACGGGACCTATAAGATGATAATATTTGCTGCTCCTCTGATCTTTGTGTCTTGGGTTTAAAGTGCTGTCAGAAAATGAAAAAGGGCCTCCCAAGCCTAACAAGAAGATAACTAAAAAGCAGTGAACTTCCAGTTTTACACCTCTTTGTATGGCAATCTTCTACCATTTTGCCTGAGTTATTTCTTCATAACCCAGGGGAACATTCTGTCTGGTGATGTTCCCACTCCCCATGTATGAAGTAACAGTGAAACTTCATAACCATGTATATGTTATTAGTAGAGTCCAAGGAAAGAGCCTATTACAACCACTCTCAGGAAAGGTTTCTTGGTCTGTACTTTACTGCTGGCCCTAATAAACAAAGATTGGAAGCAGCTATCAATTATATTCATAACAATAAAACATAAACATTAGGGAATGTAACTTACCAGGTTTTTTTCCTAAATTCCCTGTTTTTCCAGCAGTTCCAGAGCCCTTAAAACAGAGCAAAAGGTCTCATTTGCATGTTGAGGAATATTGATCATGTAACTTAGAACACAATTAATGAACAAACCCATTTGAGACCCTAAATCCCCTTTTTCTTTCCAGGGAAAGCACTGTTTCACTTGACAAGAGCATTTGTATTAGGAATACCTGGGACAAAATAAGAACCTTAAAATGTATAGCTTTTACTCTTAAGAGAAGAAAAGAGCAAAGTATGTGGACTGTAAACCCCAGAGGGCTCAGGTATGGACCTGTGGTGTGGGCATATCATACACCTGGGAAAATCCAATGGAAGGCTCCATGTCAGGAGGACTACTCCCCACACACTCAGCTGGTACTTTGTTTTCAAATGGTTATTAGGAAATATTTCACATACAAGAAGTTCAGAAACTCTAAGACATACCCATGAGCCTACCACCCATATTCAATACATTAAAATGTTGTGTTTTTCTACATTTGCTCCAGGTTTCCTTTTTAAAGAACTAAAATGGCACAGGGATGATGGAATCCTCCCTTTCCCCATTGCTGTTGGCAATGAGGGGGCTGCTGTCCTACATACTACATAGCCTTTCCTCCCAATTTCACACTGTCTGAACGCTGACACTTCTCTATCTGTGGTGGAAGCACGATCCACAGAAGCAGGCCATACTTCTTCCCACTATGTGTTCCAGAAGCACTTGAGGTGAAGTCCTCTCATGGATGCTCATGGACTTAAATTAATGACTACAACTACACACTATCAATCTTTACTGCTATTTGGGGGGGCTGCATATTAAATAAAGAAATGACAATGAAACAAGATTCCGAGTGACCAGTTACTTCTCCCATACAGGCTGATAATACACTCTCTATATTCTGTAACAAGAAAGAAATCAGCAATACCCAACCACAGAGTTCAAGGAGCTCCAATGTGCTGCTTCTGAGAAATACACCCAGTATCCTAGGTTGGGATACACTCAGGAGGCCAGATTCTGTCCTGGCTGCATGTGTTTAAATGTGTTCCCAGGCCATATGTCCCAGAAGGATCTTCAGGACAGGACAACCCTTCCCCAGGCCAGTTTAAAGTTGTGTCTGGCTTTTAAGTTTGGTAAGATGCTTTGCTTGAACACTGAACTCTGTAACTAAGTAGGACAGAAGAGCTAACTTTTTAGTCCCTCCCCCCATTACTGAACAATACAGCTAAACATTTGTCTAAAATCTTTAGTACTGCCACTTCTTCTGTAGCTAATAGTTTATGAATATGGTTAATTAAACATAACAGGTTACCTTTAAAAAAGAGTTGCTTTTTTAAAAAATTTACTGATTTCATAAGGTTTTGTGAATAGAAAACTAATTTATTAAAATAAAATACAAGTAATGTCTTTTGTATATTTTTCAGTGTTGATGCAGATTATTTTTATTATAATGTTATTTAAATATGCATAACTCCTATGTAAATAGAACTTGGGTAAAGTCTAAATAAAGTTAATAAAGTCAAATTCAAATACAAGCCAAAATTGTTTTTGTATTTTAACTTATCCAAAAAGTAGTGTCACTTTAAGAGTTTTCATGGATAATAATGGAAATCAAATTTAGTTTTTAGCATTTCCCCCAGCCCTCTGAAATATCATCTGGATGATTCTTATTGGAACCAATTTGCTAGCCTAAAGAAGGGTTCAATTCTCCCTCTCTGATCTATGGGGTTCAACAGGCCAGCTGTCTTACAGGGGAAAATTATTTTCTTCCAGACTCTGCCAAATTTTCTAAGGGTGGGCAACTAATACAAATCCATCCACAGGAATTTCAGCAAGCTGCTCTCAGGACTACAGCAAGAAAAACAAAAAACAACAATAATGACACCCTTTAAAAAAAAAAAAAGAAAAAACACACCAAACCCAATCACATAAAACTACTCCTAGCAACTGCAGGGAAGGTGAGAAGGCCAATGGCAAAACTACTGCATCAAGTCAGCTGCCCACAGGGCCTCTGGGAGTGCAGGGGCCTTCAGAAAAGCCCACAGACACTCTCTGGCACCTGAATGAGAGAGAGCAAGAGCTTTGTCCACTCACTTACACCCAAGAACGCAGCCTCTGAAAGTTCCCTGCCTGCCTTTCCTCTCAGTGCCTAGAAGTAGGAGAGAAAAAGAACTGTGCCCTGACAGCATGGGGTGCGGGGAGGGGAGAGGTAGCACCAGCCTGTTCCTCTTGGTATACTTATGTGGATCTGTTAAATTACTACATTTATATCCTGACACTCTCCACTGACTTGAACTTGGCCACTACGACAGGTTCCTGTACTCTGTGGTATCCCTCTTCATTAAACCTGTACTAAACTTTGATGACACATTTTATGCAATCAATTTTTTACAGTTCCATTTAACAACAATGACAGCCATTTCCAATTTATAAGGATAATAGTATTCCAAGAGAGTACCAACCTCTTAGATATTGTATTTCCCTACTATATAGACAAAAAACATAATTTTAAGAAACTTTCTACTGCCCTAATATTCAAGGGCCAAGTATCACCAGAATACTTGTTTACATGGTCAAAATAATGCTGTGGGATATCTAAAAATTAATGACCATGAAGAACAAATCAAAAAAGTTTACTCCAATGTCAATTACACACAGGAATAGAGGTTAATACTGAGCATTATAACCCACTGATGCTGACCAACCCCGTCGCTGCAGCCTCCACTTAGCCCCTGGAGTTTTGCTTGTGGGAAACCAATGTTTACTCCACAGCACCAAATGGAAAGGTCAGAGAGCTGCAGGTCACACTGTAGTTACTGTCACGTTCTAGAGTTTAGTAAAACCCAAAAGAATGTTCCAGTGTCAAACATCATGACTCCCGCAAAGAGAACCACCACACAGAAAGGGAGAGGAAACAGTTAATGTGGGTTTACCTCTGAATCTTTAAGCCTCACATAGTTAGAAGGGAAGACTCCGGACTTGTCGCCCACTGTTCCCGTCCACCAGTCACCATCTTTCTTGGTAACCAAAATCACATCCCCTTGCTGAAAGGTTAAATCTCCTTGCTCAGAACTCTCGTAAGTGTACATGGCAATAAATTCTGGTGGGGAGAAATATTGAGATACGGAGAGAGCTTGATTGTTTAAAGAAATCCCAGACAGCTTTGCAAAAGCAAATTATGAATCAGGAAATTAGGATAAGATTCATTCAAGAGAAAGGCTAATCACAGATAAAAATACAGAGCTGCAGAATACCCCTGGGCTCCAAATTCCCCAACTGCACACAAGAATTCAGTAACTGCAGACAAGGAGACAATTCCTGTGAAGACCCAGCCACAGGAACAAAGAACCAACTGCATGTCTACAAACACTGAATACCAAAAATCATCTAGGACTTAGGGTCATCATTTTTTTTTTTTTAATGAAATGTTTTTTACATCCAATTTCAACTAACATTTACTGAGTATCTACAGGGTCAGATGCACTTACATGCAGGCTTCTGGGGTGCAAATATCTGTATTTCTGTTTTGAGAGTACTAATTCACAATTTTAGAAATTTTTAGAGTATATCCTTTATGTAAATTAAATAAGACACACTTTTCCTTATGTCCTATTGTACCATACGCAAAGATGGCAGGAAACTTTTAGACTATAAAATAAAAAAATACACATTACTTAGTTAAAAATGGGCATCTACTTGTCTTCCAAGTGCATACACAGGTAGAGTGAACTGGTGATAAGTGTGATGTCTACTCAACCCTGGAAAATAACTATTAAGTCTCTCCCAAAAAATTAAATGAAAACTCTTTTTTACTTTTATTACATTACATTCTAAATTACATTATAATGTAATTTAGTCTTAAAAATAAAAAAATAATATTCTTTAGTGTCTTGAATTGAAGGGTGTGCATTCCAAAAGCAATTTTTATCTTTTAATTATAAAGAGAACCCTGCATTGCTTTTATTGATTCTACTAAGACTTAGAACCAAGTCTTCTCTCAGACAGACTAGATACAAAATCCTAGATTAGCAGAAAAGATTTTACAGAAAGATACATATATTTCTTACTTTCACTTTTTCTTTATCTTATTCCAGCCCTTTGTATATTTTTTTAAAAGCAGAAACATTTACCCCAGAACATTTTTATAACAGATGATGTATGTTTCTCAAGAGAGTACCAGATGATATTTCTTAAATGCAGAGTTAATGATTAATAGGCAGAAATTTAGTACGGAAACCTCTATTGGTCAATTAAAATAGCCTCTGAGGGAGGGACTAACAAAAACTAAAACACACACAAAAATCAAAACCCCTTAACACTGTGCTAACATGAGTGGGCACCCCCTGAGAGTGCCAACAGGGGCCTCCTTCAGCTTTGAGGGTGACCTGAGCACTGTGCAGAGGCTAGGGGGTGACTCCTGGGGAGAGTGCTGAAACCCACAGCAGACACAGGGTCATCCAAACGTCCCTGGAAGACAGAGGACTCTTGTCTTAGCCCTCCAGTGCTGGTAACACAAATCTCCACAGTTAAAAAGAAAAAACTCACTTCCCACACAAGCAAATTATCGTTTGCACGCTTTAATAAGGGCATTCTCTTGTCACTGATACACTCATTTTTCTGATTTCTCAGTGTTCTCACTTTTCCCCTGTCATCTGGTCTCTGTTACCGTTCTTTAGTTCCTATTGTTGACCCCTTAATAGGATCCTGGGCAATCCATACTTTCCAGTGAATCCTCACCTAAAGTCACTATCTTTAAAATACACCAGAATTTTGAAGTAACTTTCAAAATGTTTAGAAAACTTCAGAAACATGACCTCTAGCTAAGCTTAATACTACAGTTCAAAATGAAAAGGAGGCTAGAGAGATAGAGGCTTCGGGTGCCCTGTGACACTGCTGCACAATGACAGTGAGCCCTGGGGACACTGTGGTGGATGCTTAGAGGGTGAGGTCCTCCTCAGTCACTCCCTTTCGTGAGACATCATCTAACAAGGGAACAGGCCAGTCCCAAGCTACTATTTTAAGAGCTACTCAAATATATAATCTATTTATCTGGTTTATTTACAGTTTACTTTAAATCAGAAGACATTCAGTGAAGTATTAACAGGGAGCTCATTAATATCCATCCATACCTTTTCTCAGAATTTCTAATGCTCTCCCACAAACCCTCCCTTCACAATGTCTGCAATCTTTCCTAATATTTCTAATCTTATTGATTTCAAACTAAGATCAGAATTTACCTCTATTCTCTTGCTTGACTTTAAGAAAAAGTGTGGTTCACTTGGTGAACTATTTAGCAAGGACTCAGGTGTTGAAGCTTCTGTACATGTCTGAAGACATGCATTCCTCTACATCTATTATCAGATGAGGAGGCTCACTGCCATGAGTGGCTCTGGCAGCAATCAAGAAATGAAGCAAAAAGGGAATAAAAGCAGCATATGTTTGTTGAGTTTTTTTCTAAAAGCTTTATATTTTTTACTGCACAACCCTTGTAATAACTTCCTACCTCAAGGGATGGTTATTAGGTGTTATTATGCATGCTTCACAGATGAAGAAGCTAGGGTGTGACAGAAATCATAGGGTTACAACCTGGCAGAGCCAGGATACAAACTCCACATGCAGTGAGACCTGACCGGATGCAGCACACTGAAGTTTTTTGGGGAGGGGTTAACATTTCTTTTTCACTATGCTGATTACCAATATTGTTTTTTTCTTTTTACATTTTCTGCTTAAATGTGCATTTTTGCCTTCTTCTAATAGTGGATTAAAAAAAGGCATTAAGATAATGAAAATGTATAAAGAGAACTATGCTAGTAATTGTTTTCATACTAGTACCAAAAACTGGGTACCATAAAATCCTAGATCTTTCTTTTTTTTATTTTTTGGTAATGATGAGGTTTTACAGTTATACCTATAAATTTTTTTAAAAATTACTTTTGAAATTCCTATTGATAAAGAAATGCTGGGGGACTGGGGGGTATAAATCAGTGGTAGAGTACTTGTCCAGCATGCACAAGGCCCTTGGTTCAATCCCCAGCACCACCAAAAAATAAAAAGAAGAACTGAGGAAGAAACGCTGTTACAGTGACTCTGAACTACTATCAAACCTTAATGTTTGCTGTCTCCATCAAAACAATTATGTTGATAATTGTATTTTTCATTAGGTAAAGTTTCTAGGAATGCAACAATCATATTACAGCAAACTAATCATATAATTTATTCCAGGAACCCACTGAAAAATACTGCATAATTGGTAAGTTATGACATCTGATAACTGCAAAACCTGCTCGGACTTCTAAATGGGAAACTTAACTCAGGTAGCACTTTTCAATTAGTTCTATAATGACTGCACTGAATGTAAAAAACATGATTTTTACCAGCAGGGTCTGAATTACATAAGTTATTTTTCATTTTTTAAAAATTTAATACTTCCTACTAGTGACTGGCATGTATATATAATATCTAGAATTATGTCATGAAACAGAGACTGGAAAAAAGGCAATTAATTATTTGCGTTACAAATACTCAAAATGAAATTTTTAGGCCTAAATAATCTCGTTTGGTTATTTACTTAGAACACGGAAACTGAGCTTCTGTTTTGGCTGAAGAGGTTCCTATGACACTCATATAATTGTGAAAGCTTTACTGGACTCTGCAGTGTTTTAAGGCAAAATACTCGTATGTAGATGAGACTAGACTACATTAGGAGATTTAGCTACAGGGGTGCTCAGAGAACTTGATCCTTGGCAAACTGGCTTGTGAACTTGGTGAATGGGCTTCTTTCAAAAGTCAAAAGGCTCATGGTCAAATTTGAAAATTTAGGTTTTTTGTTCTGTTTTTGCAGTACTGGGGACTGAACCCAGGGCTTCGCATATGCTAAACAAGCACTCAACCACTGATGAGCTGAATCCCCAGCTCCACAATTCAGTTTTTGATGATCAACATCTCCAACAGTATTTTGACAGCCTCCATAATCAGTACTCTGATTTTGTAAAGAGCTGAACCTTCATTTCACCTCAGTTTAACAGACCGATCAATTAATGCAGACTATTTAAAGATGAAACCCATCTCATTTCACATTTACTGTCTGTAGTGGTACCAGGTTCGACTCTCCTAAAGAACCTAATTTGATCTGCTCCTCACCTTCTCCTGAAACAGCTGGTTTAGCAGCAGGTGAAGCTACTCTCTTCAGACTAGCAGGACTCTCTGAAGAACCAGAATCCATGCTGAAAGAAGGGAAGAAAAGAGTATTTTTAATTCCGATCTCAAGAGAAAGCAGTACAGCTGATACTGATTTTTCTCCTTTAGAACTCTGAACAATGCACGGCTGAAGCAGCTGTACTTAGCTAAATTACATGCTCCAGGGGTGCTAGGCCATAGGGCTCTGCGCTCAGATCCTGCTCTGCTGCACACGTGCCCTCTGTATTGGTTTACTCCAAAGCATGACTGGCAGGGGCTCATGGGATAATTCTGTTATTTTTATCTTCTTAAAGCTCATAATTTGTTTTGAACACCTATACAGTTAGAATAATTAAGCAATAGCCTTGCAGATTCCACGTTCTTAGCAGATGCTAATGAAAATAATTCATTCTTCCAATTATTTCCCCAAATGCTCTGGGCTTTCTAAGCAATCACATGTATCTGGCACAGTACTGATTATGAAGTCACTCTCCAACCACTTGCGTGACTATTCCAGGTCTCAGAGCAGAATTTAAAAAATTATATATATTTGTAGATGGACATAATACTTTTATTTTTTTAATTTATCTTTTATGTGGTGCTGAGGATCGAACCTCGTGCCTCACACGTGCGAGGCAAGCGCTCTATCACTGAGCCACAACCCCAACCCTTGAATTCTTTTTTTGCATAAATTCAAGGAAAACCAGGATGTATAGGCTTCCATGAGGGAAAAAAAAGACCACCTATCTGTAAGAGGCTCCCTTTTTATATTCCATATACTCTTTTGTAATTAAAAGATCCAGAAGACAAAATAATCCTGCAATTCCCATCCATGAATCCTAACTAAAGCAAACAATGTTTAATGCCTAATATATATTTTTTCATCAAATAGAAGCAGATAAACACAAAATACCTTGTAGATTTCCTTATGGGCCCTGAAATGAGTTTCACGTAAGACTTGGGGAACCAACCCTTCTGACCTTGAACTTCTCCAAACCACCACATGTCTTGCTGTTCCAGGACGGTGATGACATCATTTTTGTTAAAATTTAAATGGTTGTCTTTTTTGGCTCTCCAAGGATACAGGGCTTGCGCTTGTAGCCCCTCCACCTTTTCACCCTTGTGTAGAACAACATAAAGGACCTCTCATTACATTGTGGCTTGTCATCAGTCAAGGCATGACCCTGGGGCCTCCTCTGTCATAGGCACACACGAGCACACACACAAACAGATGGCACCCTGTATCAGCACAGCATGAGTGGTGGACACCTCACTGTTTCTCAGTAATCATTTATTTCCAAAAGTAGAAGCAAAAACTTGCTGGCCCATTCACAGAGCCATCGTCTGGCAATCTAGAACTTTCTTCTTATTTTTATCTGATATGGTATCTTGCTAAGTTGCCCATGCTCCCCTTGAACTTGGGATCCTCCTGTCTCAGTAGCTGGGATTACAGGTGTGCTCCGATATGCTAGGCTTTAGAACTCTCTACTTAGTAAACCAGGAGGGATGGTTCTCCTGTGACACTTGACTATGTGCCTTCTATATTTTGGTCCTATTTTTCTCTCAAGTTGCCCTGGGCACCTGTCCATTTCCAATATGATTTGGAGTTCTACTAGAGGATTAATGCTGGAACAGAAGTTTGATGAGATTTCATGACATTATTAACTGTATGGAAATGGGGGAAAATGCTGTGCACTGGATTATGCTTGTTTTAGTTCCATTTTAGAGTAACAGGATTTTGTTAGCATAAATTCATTGTAATTACCATTTATTGTCCATCTATATGCAAGGCACTATGGGATTACAAAGAAAAATAATAAAAAAAACCATCTCTCTGCCTCCCCCAAATAATTTAAGATAAAGTAGTTTATTAACCATAAAGCACTGTAAAAAATGGATAATGTGATATGATTAGCAAGAAACTCACAGTTAATAGGGAAGAAAGAGATAAAAATGACTAAGTATACTCCCTGGCAGGATGAAATACGCTACAAAGAAGTTCCATCTAGTCACTGTGGGAACAGAGAGAAAAGAGGGATGAAGTCTGCCCAAGGGTATCAGGGACAATTTCACAGAGGTGGAGGCATTTGAGCTGGGCCTTGAAGGATGAGAAGGATTTTGGTAGCTAGGGCTGTGGAGGAAGGGCTCTCCAGGCCAAGGGCACAGCACAGCCAAAGGCCTTGAGGTGGCACACTGCATACACTGCAAAGGGTCCCGGAAGAGGAGTGCAATCCAGGGCTCTGTGTAGCCTGGGCTCACGGAGGAGTGTAGGAGGAGATGAGGCTGGAAAGGCAGGTGAGGCACTTATTATCTTCTTCAAAAATAGAACATAAAACCATTATGGTGTCTTAAAACATTTACTAACAAACAGGACAACACCAGCTTCCAATCTTCTATGTAAATGGATAGAAACAAAGGAATATACTCAAGGAGAGTTAATTCAGAACCAATTCATGTTTTTGCCTTTGGAAGTTATTTTTATTTTTGCATTGAGATATGATTGTGAGGGCTGGGGATGCAGCTCAGTGGTAGAGCCCTTGCCTAGAATGCACAAGGCCCTGGGTTCCATCCCCAGCACCAATACCCTATAACATTGCCATATATATATATTTTTCCATTTCTGCTCTCAAAACTAAGGTTCCTTTGGATTCCAAACACTCTAGGAACACATATTCTTTACCTTCCATTCTTGCTCTCTGCAGTGACCCTTCTGCCTCAATGTCTCTAATCCACAGCCCTTCTTCCCTGTCAAATCCTTAGCCATTTCCATTGATTTTTCTACCAGGACTGGATCCCAGGGCAAGTCATTTCTCCTGTGTCCTCATAGTACTTCAGAATTTCTCCCCTGAGAAGTTTCCCCTGTGCTTGTCTTCTGGACCTTTTCACATGGATACCCAGTGAGCCCAGCCCCAGTAACTGGGACCCTGCCACTTATTAATTCTGTGATACCCTGGCAAATGTTTTAATTTTTTAAAGCCTCAGTTTCTACATTTATACCACAGAGATGATACTCTCTTTAGAAGGTTGTTAAGAAAGTTCAGTAAGATCTATGCACAGTATTACTGTAATAGTACTAATAGTCACAGCAGGTTTTAGTACTGTTCTTATTCCTACTCTCAAAACTGTGTAGTATTGCTAGAAAAAGCTGAAGCTCTGTGCAATGATCAAGATTCAGGACAAATTCAACCAGCAAGTTCTTTTATTATTATCATTTTTAGTTTTACCTGGGCAATTCTTTATTCTTTTTTTTTTTTTTTTTTTGTCAAACTCCTAACCATCTACAGCCTGTAAGCCCTCAGGGCTCCCTCCTCATGAGATGGATGCCATGCGTCTGACCTGAGCTTCCTTCTCCACTATCTTTCCCAATCTCTCTTCATCCTCCTCACCCAGGAGAAAATGAACCCTGTCTTCTTTTTTGTGCATTTAATGCTGGATTCACCTGGCACCAAGCCAACTGACACTTGACTTTTCAATTCCTTTTTCCACTGATGACAGCTGGCTACCTTTCCAATGCCCTCCCTGCATTCTGTACTTCCTCTACTTGTCACAGAGCTGCCTGCTCCCTCACCACTCGTTTCCTCTTTACCCCCTGGTTTGTCTTCCTCTTCCCTAAGTCAGGGGGATGTTCAGTCAGCACCCAGAGTGGTCTCTTCTGTGCACTGATCACAGCCATCACCTCCACCTGCCTAAAACAAGTTCCTCCTCCCTGTGGTTTCCCACTGTCACCCACACCACCCCCTGCTCCCGCACCCCTCCTCTGCCACTATCACCATTATCAAGCACAGGACATGTGTCAGATTCTGAGTTGGGTGAGATGGAAAGGAAAGTGACACTATCTGTTCAGAACTCTTTCCCTTCTTTCAGGCCACTTAACACACACATTCTTGGGCACTTTCTATTTCCCCTTATTCTCGAACCTCATACCATTTCCTTAGTTCTGATTATATGATTATATGACAATATATATATTTGTCCTCACAGTACTTCAGAATCTCTCCCCTGAGAAGTTTCCCCTGTGCTTGTCTTCTGAATCTTTTCACATGGAGATATATATATATCTGATCTTTACTCCACCCACCAGATCTATGTTCCACTGGCCTGCTAGACATGACCACCTGGATGTCTTGTTTTCACTAATACCATAACATATCTAAAACTCAACTACTCCCTCCAACTACAAATTGATTTCTTCCTGTCCTCCTCATTTTCCATGAAGGTGGATCTTCTCCACCCAGGGCCCCTTTCCTGCTGGCCCTCCAGGTGTGTGACTCTATCCTTGTGGTTCCCCTCTGCAATCTCTTGCATGCTCTCTTCTCTCTCTACTGGTTCCTCCCAACTTGGTAAATGTGAACGCAGCTGAGTCTAGGCCTCCCTCGCTCACACCTGGGTGCGCCTAACAGGTGTTACTGCCCACTGGTCCTCTGTTCTAATGTCCCTACACCTACCTCTCCAATGAATCTGCCCAGTGCTTGCCTTTGACCTGGGTGTTTCCAGAACAAAAACTATCTATGACCCCCCCTGGTGCCTCCCAGAAGGGCATCTGTTGTTTGGTTTGATTTGATTATTTATAGAAATTTCATTCCTTTAATTCCATTCTGTTATTGTATTGAGCAAAAGAAATAGACTCAGAATAAATACCTTTAACCTTTCAGAAATTATTCTTTCTTAACAGGGCACTTCAGAGCTTCCCAATATTCTATCCTGTAACCAGTCTCTTTGCCAATAAATAGCCAGCAGTTTAGCCAAATGGATTAACTCATGATTTTCCTTACACACATTCCGATTCTTTGCCTTAAAGCCTCTCCTTTCAGCATTTCCTGTATGATATGCCTTTTCCTTTGTTTTTAGTAAGCTAGCTCTTACCCATTGGTCAAGATGCAACTCAAATGTCATAAATGAAACCTCTCTGATTAACCCAGGCAGAAGTTTACTTGCACTGAACTCCGATTATTCACAGCATATCTTGGCCTCCTGAACCTGACCCAGCCAGCCAAGAGAGCCCCACACAAGGAAGCTTAATTCTAGGTGACGTCGCCAGCAAGCATCTGCTCATATCTGTACTGCTTAGTCTTCACACCCTCACTGGTTGCCCTTACCTGTCCCAGTACAGGAGATGGGGAGGAGCCAGTGGCCGTGGCTGGAGTAAAGGCTGATCTCTGCCTTAACTGGCCAGCACTGGGTACAGTAAGAGAAGGCTGGGCTGCCCAAGCATCCCAGTTATCCGTTTCTGGTTTCTCGTTTGTGCTGGTGGGCCACCTGGAAGGAAGAGCACAACCCATAAATAGTAAGCACTTTCTAATGCACCAGCTTCCCACCCAGAGTGAAATGTAAAAACAAAATATAAAAGAAAAAAAATGGCACCCTCTGAGCCCATACACCACAAATTCTGTACTTTTTCTTTTTTTGTGGTAGTGGTGATTGAATCCAGGGCCTCCCACATGCCAAACAAGTGTTCTATTACACATTTCCACCCACAATCCAGTATATTTATGTGGCCTTTGAAAGTTAAGAACAAGGACAGGAAAGAATGCTGGGCACAGGTGTGAGTGAGTCTGTGTTTCACACACTAGCAATGACCCTCAGGCAAATTATTCTATTTTCTCTGAATCTTGATTTCCTCATTGGAACAATACCCTGCCACTCTGGGTTCATTTTGAGGGTTACCTGAAGCATTAGGGAAATACTCTGAATAATAATGACAATCATTACTATTTATAATAACAATAGATGAGATGAAAGAAATCTAGTGCCACATATGAAAACACATCAGCCTGGCAGCCAGAGCTTCCCTGTCCCATCAATTTCATAGGACACACCTGGCTATATGCGTCCACACCACAGTATTTGCACAAGGCATCCTGAGAGTAGCCAGTTGTCTTGGATCTTGGGACAGTTCTAATTTTGTGATTTTATAATTTTAGATAAACACATCTGTGTGAATGCACATCTAAATGGAATTTACGGTTTTCATCTTTATAAAACAAATTTGAAAGTCAGAATAATTTCTTGATTTTTTGGTTTGGAAAACAAGACACTGGTAATCATAGCAGGAAACTCACACACCACATATTTAACAAGGAAGACAGTCACACTGATTTGATCCACAGCAAAAACAAATCCTGGAAAGCATGGTATTAGTCTTCTATTTTAACCAAAGCTTTAGTTTATACACTCTGAACTTTTCCAACAAGATCAAAAGAAAAAGGGAGAGTTTAAACTTAGAAGTTATGCCAAGGGAAGGCTATTGTTTTAAAGCAGAGATTACATGTGGAGGCACCTTTAGATGCAAAAATAAGTGTGAAAAACTTGCTATTCCTTACATCCTTTCCTTCACTTCCTCCTGCACTTGGCCATTATTCTATTTCTATTTGCTCCATTTGATATTTCCAGAAAAATACCTTGACTCCTTGCCTTCAATGTATTTCTACCAAAAGATGATTAGACTTAAAAAGACATTTCAAACACTTCTCACTCAAATCACTGTTACTGGCATGCCAGTATAAAACATTTTTTGACAACTGCACATCTAGGTCACAGCCCTGTAAATGGAGGTCTGGATAGTGGTTTCATCCATCTTTCAAACCTCTGCCTACACACTCTGTGCTTAATGTCATTTTCTGATGACCAAAGGCACGCACCTTTTCACACCACTATACATCTGTACAAGACTAATGAAAGCAGAAAGCTCTGGAGGAAGCAGCTTTTTATCCTATTCAAAGCCACATGACTGAATTCAATTCTGTTTCTGCCCAGCAAAAAAGTGCTATTTGCCTGCATGCGGGAAATGACTGAATATTTGCTGACTGACATGGGTGTCAACACAGATTATTAGGAAGCTGTATTTCTCCATTTTTTTGCTAAGAATGAAAATACAGATAAATTACTGAACAGAACATGATAACTGGCTTTGTTTTGTATGAGGGTAAATCATCATTGGGCAATAATATCATTTATTTCAGTAAAGAGACAGTTACCCCTACCTTGCTAGCAGACCAGCCAGAGAAGGGAGTCACGCAAATGAGCCAGCTCCCTTACCAAGAGGGATAACTTGGGACTATAAAAACACCTAGGGGAAAGAAAGGTTACTAAATTGAGATTTCAAAAACTGAAACTTACGTAGAGCTGAAGTCAGCCCAGTTGTTGGGGGTTGTGGAGGGCTCAGAAGAGGTCACTGCCAAAGGAGCGGGGGTCTCACGCAGAGCCAGTTTGGGGGCAGGGGCAGATGTTGGATCAGTCACTGGTTTGGCTGGAGCAGGAATCTCATTTTCTGGAATCTTCTCTGCATAGTTTGCAGGGAACCATCCTGTTTTTCCTTTTAATTCTCCTCCAAGCCATCCGGGTTCTCCAGTTTGGCTTTCATCCACCTACAGGGAAGTCACAACATTTAATTTAAATAGAACTAAATCAACCCTTGAATATAACACACACCTCACCACAGCCCCAAGTGTTGGCCCTGACTGACACATAGCATTAGAAATTTCTTTATCCTATTCTAAATGTCTGGAAAAGTGGCTCTTCCTCGTTGTACTTTTTAAAAAGCTTCTGTCCTTTTTCTCATAATGGCTGATCCGATAAAGTGCTTGAAGTCCTTAGGCACATAGCTTAAACTCTCAGAGCTATTTTGAATTGGGAAGTATCTCGACAGGCTTCTTCACTCAGGAAGTCAAGTCATTATTAAAAACAACTTGACTTATTTACTATTTAAAGTCAAAAGCAAAGGCTACAATCAATATAAATTTAGTGTTCTAAAACCCTTCAATAAGTAGTATTTATTAGCATACGGACAAGGGTAAAAAACACAGCCTTAGCTGCTTTCCCTGAAAGGCAAAGCTGAGTGTTGTGTTTGGCCATTTAAAAGCCCCACAGACACATGGTGAGAAAATGAGGTAAGTGATTATTTGCAGCCACAATCAATTTTATTAAGGCCCTATAATTCTTTGTACACTATGCAGAGAAGATTCCCTGTAATTCTTTAATATTCACAAAAGTGTGTGTGAGAATATAGAATTCTCCTGTGGAAAAATTTCAGAGCCTCTATATTATACCAAATACTTTTTTTAAATATTTATTTTGTAGTTATAGATGATCACAATACCTTTATTTTTATTTTTTTATGTGGTGCTGAGGATCGAACCCGGTGCCTCTGAGCCATGACCCCAGCCCCTACACCAAGTACTGCTTGTATTTTATCTTTGTTCTGATTGAAAAGATCATTCAAAATGGCCCAAATGATTCTACTTATCTTTATAAGTTGCCCCCACAATTTTATGAGCAACAGAATGACTCTGGGGGATAAGTACTTACTGTTACAGAAATGTTTTTATCACTTTAAGTCAAATAAGGGCCTACAGAAGACTTTTGATTTTTATTCCTTCATATATTATCTATGGTTGAAAATACTGAACACTTTATTGGAATGTAAATGTTGCTTTCTAGAAATTTCAGAAAATGAATGGGCAGGTTCTAAACAATAATTTGATAAAGTTACCAGTTGTCTAATCCATTCAAGTATTCAGTAAAACACAAGCCAAACATCTGCCTGTACTCAGTGCACAGTGAGCAACAGGATGTAACTATTATTAGCTTATTAGAATAAGCACATGCTTGGGGCAGGGTTGAAGAAAGTGGAATACAAGGCTTAGTACTTAATTCTACTTATCTGCAAGATATTAGCAAGTAGGGAATGCCTTCTTGCTATATCACTTTGGGGAACCTTTATAGTCTTAGATAAAAATCAAGGTAAGTGATTATTTGCTTCTTTTTTAATGTAAACTTCTTTTTTTTATACCTTTATTTCATTCATTTATTTTTATGTGGTGCTGAGGATCGAATGCAGGATCCCGAGCATGCTAGGCGAGAACTCTACAGCTGAACCACAATCCCAGCCCCTAAAAAATCAACTTTTAAAGCTAAAAATTCTCCAAACAACCAAAAAGGAGTTTCCTCAGATCAAGTGCAGTAATTCCAAAGGCTCTAATTTTGCTTTACACTCTGTCACTCTTGATCACACTTCCACAGATGTGAACACATTAGCCCATATTCATTCAACTCCTTTGATGATTTGTTCTCTTTCTGGGCAGCCCCAATTGTTTTTCTAGATGACAACTTAAGATAAATATCTTTTCTACTTAGACCTTCGTTTTGTGCTCAACTCAGATGGCTAGAAGGCTTTCCTTCCTGGTTGATATTTACTGGTGGTATTATGACATACTGCTAATGGCAGCTGCTCTGTACTGGAAACATAGCTGCTTCTAAGTGCATCAAGGCCTCCCCCACTTCTTAGTTGGTTCATCAGCCAAGCTCAGCCCCATTTTATGACCTAAGGTGATGTCAACAGAAATGAGCTAAGAACTGGAGTCAAATACCTCAAGACTGCAAAATGTAAGGCTGGAAAACAGGGCTCTGCAATTCAACACCTCTTGATTTAAATACTAGTTCTACAATTAACTGGATGACTTTGAGCAAGTTTATTCACTGGGTGCTCAGTTTCTCAATAAAGTGGAGACAATAGCAGTACCTGTTTTACTTGACATCTGATAAATATTTACAACTCTGCTTGGCATATTTTAGTGTTAAATGAATTAATACTAAATGTACATCTTAGTGTTTAATAATAGATTATTTTGAAGCCATTTCTCCTGTTGTCCAGCTCTGCCCTTGAGCTGTGGTTTCCTTTCCAGGGCTTTTGTCCAGTTCTAAAAGCTTAGTATCTACTTAGCTCACTCTAAGCAATCTGTTTGTCTCTACATGGAGTTCTCTGCTCTTCAGGCCTGTCTGGGATCCTGGCATCTCTGGGTTTAACATCTTGCCATGGTCTTCTCCTAGTCAAATTCAACTGTTTTACCTAGTTATGTCTTATGACTGACTGACTTGTCATCCACTTGAGACCCTGGTATACAGGATATATCTGGTCTTGTTAGGAGATTTTTGAGTGGACATCTGTTACTGGATCTGAAGTCCAGAGGAAATGTTCCATCCTGGCTAGGGGATCTGGCCAAGCATGTCCCTAGACAGAAGGAATGCTGCACTCCTGTATACACTCAGGAGTGGCAGGGAGGGGCTGCTGCAGACTCTTAGTTGTACAAATAAGAGCTTCTCCCATCCCTAAGGACAGTCATGAAATCAGTATGTATCTTGCTTTTAGCTAAAGAAATTCACTGATCTCAACAATGACCCAAACAATAGCCTCAATTAGTTTGATTTATTCTCACTGGGATCCATTCATTGTAATGATTACATTTTAATTTCAAGGAGTTAAAAATGTACTCTTGGGGATGTGGCTCAAGCGGTAGTGGGCGCCTTGTATGCGCAGGGCGCTGGGTTCATCCTCAGCACCACATAAAATAAAATAAAGATCTTGTGTCCACTGAAAACTGAAAAATAAATATTAAAAAATTCTCTCTTCTCTCTCTCTTTAAAAAAAATGTACTCTTAATACCTAAATTAAATTAACCACTTAGAAAAAGTATGAAGGTCAACATATAAAAAATGAGAAGTATGTCTTTCTGGATTTAGGAAACTACCCAAAATGCTAATTGAATTTTAGGAAAACACAAGATAATGATAGCCCAAAAGGCTAAGCCCACAAACTTCTCTGTAACATGGTGCTCTAATGTGGACTTTTACATAAAGTATGCTAATCAACTGGTGGCTATAAGAAAAATTTTATTATTAAAAATATAACTTCATTTAAGCAGACCTATTCCAACAACCCAAAGTATTTCAGGGTAATTCTAGTAAAACATCATTGAAGTGAAGTACAAAACTCTGACATCGCTTACCTTTTGGGGATCATGTTACAGAGCTAGTCTACAAAATGTTAGTAATTACACATTGTATATCAGGGGTAACTGATCCTATAGTCAAATGTCCATAGCAGCTATTTCAGATACAAGTCCATGGGCAAAAGGCTGATAATATCACGCCTCTTCTCTCAATGATTACATGCTCAATGGCTACAATTTTCATTAGGTAGAATCCCTAAGCCCTCCAACCTTGTCATAAAGGAGGTGCTACAGTGAATCTTGAATAATCCTAAAGGTTCATACTGTAAAGCTTGTTGGCCAGGATGGCACAATTGGGAGATGGCAGAGCCTTTAGCAGGTGAGGGAGGCCTGGGGGGAGGTCTGCAGGTCACTGGGATATGCCTTTAAAGGAGACTGTGGGACCTTCCACTCTTTTGCTTCTGGTCACGAGGTGAGTGGTTTTGGTTTACCACACTCTTACCATGACATACTTCCTTCCCCAGAGCAATGGGGCCAGTTAGACTGAAAACTCAAAGACTATGAGTCAAAATTAATCTTTTCTTTTTATAAGCTAATTATCTCAGGCGTATGTTACAATAATGGAAAGCTGAATGACACAGGAGTTCCTTTTTCCTTCACAGAGCAGGACAGTCAGGGATAGCAAACAGGTTTAAACTGTACTGAATCAGACCAGATGGCTGTGGCTGCCTGTCCTGTGTTGACGAACACAAGGGAAAGCACATTTTATAGATTTGCTGATTTTTAAGTAAAAGGTTTTCCCCAAAATTCTAAGATGAAGATATTAAAATTCTTTTCTAAAGCTCTAACCTGGAAGTCAGCAAACTTTTTCTCTGGTGCAATGACTTGAGTCCGCTGTTGTAGCACAAAAGCTGATGTAGCAACATGTGACTGACTGTATGAGCCTGGCTGTGTTCCAATAAAACTTTTATCACAACACAGGCACTAAATCCATGACTGTAATCCTATGTGCACACTGGTCCCTCAAAACAGTAGTGATATTATGGTCAATTGTTACTAAATAAACTGAACTCAAATGTTAAGTTTATGGAAACCTAAGGAGTGCAGTAGGAAAAAGTACTGTGTTTAAAAAAAAAAAAAAAAATTCTCCGTCCAGAGAAAAGAAGGAAAAAATGAGTTGACTGTTATAGGAGTAACACTAAGACAAACAATTTCTAGAATGAAATGACTGGTTGATGGCTGATAATTGCTAAAGAAGTCCCTTCTTTGAATATTCTTAAGAAGAGGCAGTTTTCCAGAAAGATTTAGGATTAGTCCTAAATCCTGACATGAAAAAGAGATGAGTTTAGATCAGTGGTTCCTGAAACTGACTCCCTAACAGACCAACATGATAATACTAAAACTATATATGGACTAAAAGTTCCCAGAACCTCTGTGGGTGAGCCCAGCAGTTATTTTTCCAAAGCTCCCATAGTAATTTGAATGCACTCAGTCCTACAGAATTCCTAGGCCTAGGATTTAGATGAACAACTTGTATTCTTAAGATAAACCACAATAAAATGGCAGCAAGCAGTGGTCTTCTCATTTCCCATGCACTTTCAATATGTTAGAGAAGTCAAGTTTGATTGATTCGCCCTCCAGATAATATGGGTCCTCCAGGTGAGAAGAGAGGTCATCTATTTTCAAAGTATCTAAGCCTCAGCCATCAAAGGTCAACTTCAACTAGGACACCTCCATTAAAAAGTCTTTCCTGAGCACAGAGGTTCACACTCAGTCCTTTCCTATTTTAAACTGCGACCAGGATTAACAAGTATTCATCAAGAAGTGGCTATTCCCTGAAGACCTTAAAAGAGCGTACTATAGGGATACTGCTACATCGATGTTCATAGCAGCACAATAAACAATAGCTAGACTGTGGAACCAACCTAGATGCCCTTCAATAGATGAATGGATAAAAAAAATGTGGCATTTATACACAATGGAGTATTACTCTGCACTAAAAAAAATGACAAAATCATGGAATTTGCAGGGAAATGGATGGCACTAGAGTAGATTATGCTAAGTGAAGCTAGCCAATCCCTAAAAAACAAATGCCAAATGTCATCTTTGATATAAGGAGAGCAACTAAGAACAGAATAGGGAGGAAGAGCACGAGAAGATGATCACCATTAAACAGGGTCGAGAGTGGGGAGGGAAAGAGAGAGAGAAGGGAAATTGCAGGGTAAAGGAAGGAGACCCTCATTGTTATACAAAATTACATATAAGAGGAAGTGAGGGGAAAGGGGAAAAAAAAACAAGAGAGAGAAATGAAGTACAGTAGATGGGGTAGAGAGAGAAGATGGGAGGGGAGGGGAGGGGAGGGGGGGGATAGTAGAGGATAGGAAAGGCAGCAGAATACAACAGACACTAGTATGGCAGTATGTAAAAAAGTGGATGTGGAACCAATGTGAATCTGCAATATGTATACGGGGTAAAATTGGGAGTTCATAATCTGCTTGAATCAAATGTATGAAATATGATATGTCAAGAGCTTTGTAATGTTTTGAACAACTAATAATTAAAAAAGAGAGAGAGAGAAAAAAAAAAGAAGTGGCTTTTTTCATGAGTTTCTCCTAATCTTTTTTAGAAAATGGCAGACACCATTCTTTGCATCATCAACAACATTTAGAATAGGACTCTATATATTTCATTAAATTTTTGTTAACCATGAAAAATTCATTTTTGGAAAAAAATGGTCTGATAATCAAGTTTTCTAAAAGCAAAATATTTTAAAACTTCCCCCCTTTGAAACTTCTAAAATCTAACATGTATAGTTATCTCTATATGTTATGTTAGCTATATATACTTTCAAAGAAGTTGAGAAATCTGAGTAAGTATCTCATGATTACTATGCCCACAAAAGTACAAGTGATCTCTGTGTTACTGAACCAGGGGAGACCAACAGTCATTTTCTACTACATATTTTCACGTTCATGTTTCTCAACTGCAAACCTCATGAAATTTGAAAAAAAGGAAAAAAAACCCCACCTTTTAATCACACATTAGCTTTCATCTTATTTTGCACCAGTTGCTATTCTCATAAAACCAATATGGTTGAATGGCACTTGGCACATTTCTAGTGCACTGCGTAGTACAAACTAAGACACTCTAGCCTTTTCGCAAGCTGCTAAATTACAATAAATTATGGTAAATTACATGTTTTATTACAAATTTAGTATGTTTAAGATAAAGGAACACCATGAGTCCCCAGGTAGGTATTTTCTGTTATATTTGTCCTTAAAGTTAAGATTTATTTTTGGTGTGTTAGTAAAAATTACAAGTGGGATACATTTATAAATATGAATACAGTGCAGAAGTACATAAGATTAAACATGAAAGCTTCCTCTTTACTCTCTAGTGGTAACTACTGCTAACAGTTTTATATATACGTTTTAAGACTGTTAATTATGCATATATAAACATTCACACATATATACATACATAAAATAAATAAATAAAAATAAAAGTGTGTGTATGTATGTATGTATGTACATACGTACATACTGGGGATTGAAATCAGGTGTGCTTTACCGCTAATTTTTTAAATATTGAGACAGTGTCTTACTAAGTTGATTAGATTGCTAAATTGCTGACAGTGGCCTTGAACTTGAGATATTCTTGCCTCAGCCTCCCCAGTCACTGAGATTACAGATATGTGCTACCATGCCCGGCTTACATTTTTATTTTTAATCAGAACATTATTATACTACACATATTGTTTCTGTTTTCCTTAATGGAGAACCAATTTGTATATGTAGACCTATATAATTTTTAAAACACATTGTATTGCTTAGCTGCATCACATTTTATTTACACTATTCCTTTACTGGGTTGTTTCCTTTCTTTAATTATTGCTTTTACCAACAATGCTGCAGTGAACATCCCTGTACACACACATATTTTGTGAATGTGCCTCAAAAATATCTAAAAAAGAAAGAAAAACAGAATTTCTGGGTTAAGAGGAATGAGAAATTTCAATTTGAATAGGTATTGCCTCACTGTTTTCAAATGGCTGACAATGATTTGTATCATATCTACTTTCCCACACTATTGTCAAAACTATGTATTATCAAACTTTAATTTACTCATTTGATAGAGGAACAGTGCTTTTACTTTTTAAGTTACATTTTCCTGACTGACTATGAAGTTAAGTATTTTTTCATATACCCTTTTTTGTGGTACTGAACCCAGGCTGCTCTATCACTGACCTACATTCTCCAGCCCCCTTTTTATTGTTTGAGACAGGGTCTTGCTAAGTTGCTGAGGCTGATCTTGAATTTGTAATCGTCCTGCTTCAATCTCCCAAATCTCTGTGATTACAGGCATGGCCACGCACCTGCTCATGTACTTCCTGAATCATTTTTCTTCACCCACTGATGTCCCTTTCTACCCTCTGCTGGCTTATCAAGGGCTTATGGGTCTTTTTCATAGTAACTATTTGTAGCTTTTATGTGATTTGAACATACATAGCTCTTTTGAAATTTTTATGTTTGTGTATTATAAAATTGTTCATTTTTGCCTTAAGGGTTCCTAGTGGCTTAGGAAGACTTGTCTTATCAGGAAATTACTCTAATATTCTCTCTTAAAAAAAGTTCCTGAATTTTATCTTTTAAGTTTGACCTCTTTGAAACCTTTTTTGTCCATCAACTACAATGGAGACATGCTAATGCAGGAGCCTTCAAGTTAGTCCTGAAATGTAACCCAGCAAATGAAAACTCAGCACACAAACTCAGACGATTAACACCTTTCTTTTCTTTTTAAGCACAACCTACTACACAAACTCAAACATTTTTACTGCCACGACAACATCCAGGGATATGTGCACTTACACAAAATTAAAGTGATTTAAAAGAACAAAACACTGAATAAGATGCAGACTTCCTGACAGTTAGGCAGCACTTACCCATTCCCCTTTAACCTCCACCAGGAAAGCAAAGGTTTGAAAGCAAGGCAAAATACATGTTTAATGAAATGTCTTATTCTTACAGCATATCTAAACCCATTATCTAATCAAGCTGGGGGTCAACTAAGTCAATTCAAGAAAAGAATTTAGAATTATGGAAACAGGACTAGGTTGAATATGTTCCCGAAAAAGAGCAGTACCTTCTCATTAAGATACAGACCACCTGTAACATTCCATATCCTAGATGAAAAATGTTCGTCTCAATTATTTTCTTTTTTGTGGTACTGAGGACTGAACCCAAGGGGTGCTTTACCACTGAGCTACATCCCCAGACCTTTTGGAGATAGGGTCTCCCAAAGTTGCCTAGAACTGGTCTTAAACTTGTGATCCTCCTGCCTCAGCCTCCCAAGTAGTTGGGATTACATATGTGGCCACCATGCCTGCCCTATTTGTCTCAGTTTTTAACTTACATAGTTCTTTTTTTTTTTTTAGTTGTAGACGGACACACTATCTTTGTTTATTAGTTTATTTTTATGTGGTGCTGAGGATGAACCCAGTGCCTCACACATGTGAGGCAAGCGTTCTACCACATACATAGCTCTTTTAAAATTCTAAATCATTCCCATATTGAAAGAAATAAAGCTGCTCACAGCAATGTAAAGTTTGACCACTTCTAAGTTATTCTTAAGTGCAGCACTGGATTAAGGAACTACTGTTTTCCTCCAGAAAATCAATCATTAATAATAATAATTTAGGTCAACCACGTTGCTTTGTTTTCTTTCTTAAACTAGTTCCTATAGCTTTAGTCACAATCATAGATTGTATAGTTTTTGTTGTTAAAGGACATAAAATATAACAAAGCAAGATTCTAAACTTTTTATCTATTAATTTTCAGAGTAGTAAGGTAGATTCACTGTACTAAATTCACTACTTATTACATGATTCAAAGTTCACACAATTAAAGGGTAGGGGGAGATGCTTTGACCCCCAAATACAAAAGTTATCATTAGCAACTGTGAATGACAATAGAGTATTTTGCATTTAAAACTATTTCTTAGAAACTACTTAACAGTAAATAGTCATCTAAACTCAGAAACTTCCACAGTTATAAATTAAAAAATATGCTTAGGTGTATTAAGAACATTGTCTTCAATAATTATATAAAGTGATGTTAGGATATGTTTTTAAAATACAATCTTTCATTCTAAAAGAAAAAAGAAAAAAACCTCGAGTTTATGCTTCAAAAAACTGAATGCTGACTACTGAATATCACCCTAGTTGACACTACTGCAGTTGTCTAACAAAGTGGAAAAAGAGGAAAGGTGCTAATCATCAACAGAATCGACCCTCACTGGAGTCTTTCTTACCATGACTATATCTCCAGGCTGGATGGTGATTTCGTCATGACTTCTGGATTCAAAGGGATACAGTGCTCGGTAATACACCACTTTTACATTCTCCTGTGCAGAAATTGTAAGCGGGCCTTTTTCTGTGTACAAAAAATAGGGGGAGGGGTGTGACAAAAAACATTATAAGAAACATCAAAATATGATTAAACCAAACAACCAAGGGCTTCTCTACTGTCCCTCAGATTAGCATCTGAACTATTTCTATCTACTCAAGGAATTTCTGAAACAAATATGAACAACCCAACTAGTAAGGCTCTCTTCAGAGGCCATTCCAATGCTGAGTGCAGCAGGGCAACCTAAAGGTCCCTTCTTCCTTCCTCTTGGCCTGGGCTCCACAGGCACACATCTGCAAAGCATCAACACCCTCTCATCCCCACCCAGGCTGTTGAGCACAGACAACTGTTAGGCTCTGATCCCAGGTCTGAATCAGCCAGGGAGAAAGGGAAGGGGAAGGGAAGCACAACTTTCCATATTAACAGATATGGAAATGTTATGTTTCAGGTATTCAACATGGTAATATAACACACAAATGCTTATTTCACCAAAAAGTTATACTGATATTCCTTGGTGAAGTCTTTTGCTACATTTCCTAGCGGGGGGGGGAATCAGCCTAAGGATGGACCCTATATAAACATAATTTAGATTTTAAATGAAATAAAACTTTTAAAAAAAAATGTATACAAGTCAGGTGTGGCACACTCCTATAATCCCAGCAATTTGAAAAGCTGAGGCAGGAGGATCACAAGTTTGAGGCCAGCCTGAGCAATGTAGCAAGATCCTCAGAAACTTAGTAAGACCCTGTATCAAAATAAAGAATAAAAAATAAAATTGGTGCTGGGGTCGTGGCTCAGTGGTTCAGTGCTTACCTAGTACAGATGAGGCACTGAGTTTGATCCTCAGCACCACATAAAAATAAATAAATAAGGTAAAGGTATTGTGTCCATCTATAACTAAAAAAAAAGAAAAAAGAAAAAAAAATTTAAAAAAGAAAACAGGCTGTGGATATGGCTCAGTGGTAAAGTGCCCCCTTGGTTCAATTCCCAGTATCTCACCTCTTCACACAAAAAACAAGCATACCAACATAGGATAATTTGATTCTAGTTAACGATAACTCATAACAACCCGCTGAACTTTTCTACTCAAGAACTACAAATATTTTCACACATATTTATCTTATCTAAAAAGCAGCAAAGACAAATTTTTACTTCCATGTGGTCTTGAACTGTGTGATACAAAAAATTCTCTCACTGACCAAACAAGATAAATAAATCCTCATTTTAAACTGGGAGGAAGTACCAGGAACTTCAGCCATGGTGCCTGAACCAACTCAATATCCTTACTCCCATCCCTGCACACTGTGCACAACAGAACAAGTAAACCTTTATGAAATGGTTTGGAAGTGTATTTGATTTATTTCTGTATACTAGAGCACTAAAAAAGGACACTGACCAAACTAATAAAACCAGTATAATTTACCACACAAACCAAAAGTCATCACTGTCTCCTACTGAGAATTATTTGCAAAGCTGTACACAACCAAACAAGGATTTTGAAAGTATATTTTAGCTTGTATCTGATGATATTTATATAGACAGTTTTTTATAGTCATTTCAATTATCCTTCACATCTTTTTTTTTTTTTTTTTAAAGAGGCAAATTATGTACAAAGGACACAATAGTCATACTTTCCAAAAAGTAGAAAACAGTGAGTGCCACACTGCTATAGGCAAGGGAGAAAGTTGCCACATCTTGCTGCAGGAACATCCTAGAAATTTCTGGCAAAAATATCAATCAGAAGCAACCAATTCTTTTTGCAAGATAGGTCATCTATATAGACAACCATCATTAGTGATGTTAGGCATATGAGTGGGGTTTGATAATGGAACTTGATGCTACAGAGGAAGCCTGGATGCCAGTGGAGTGGAACAGAGGCTGTTTAAATAGAGTTTTAATGATTCTGAGGAAGGAAGAGCTGCACTGTCCAAAACAAGAGACTGACAATCTCATCTCTGTGATGGAAATGAGACAGGGCTGATTAGACAGACATTTCTCAACAGGCTCTTGGAGAGTATTGACTTATTTTCTAGAATCCTTTTTTTTTTCCCCCTTCCTGGTGCTGGGGATGGAACCTGGGCCTTGTGCATACTGGGCAAACCCTCTACCACAGAGCAATACGCCCAGCCCCTAGAATCAATCTCTTTTGGCATCTAATACCTGCAGTGGACCAGGGTGCTTGAACAGCTGGCTTAGCTGGTTCTTGGTGTGGATGGAAAAGCCGACTCAGTTTGTCTTGTGCTTCCTGTTTGCCTTTTTCCTCGCCATCCTTCTTTTTGACACTGTCTTCCCTTTTTAGTTTATCTTCCTCGTGGAGTTTTCTTGGCCGCTGATGCTCATCCTCCTGCTGCACATGCTCCAGCCACTGTTTGTCCCTTTCCTGAGCTCGTCTGCCAACAAAGATGCTTGATTATGGTGAGGAAGCAACTCCAATTGAATACTACTGCTGTCTTTTTTCACTAAAAAGCTCCTAGTCAATGAGCTGCTAAACAGCAAAGGAATATTGTTCTTCAGATAGAGCAACTCAATCAATGAAACAAAGGCTTTCGGGGCTCCAATTCTGAGACAAAAATCACATGATTTAGAAAAACCCAGAAAGAAAATATGTGATGTATTTCATAAAGTGGTTGTAAGAATAAGAAAAAGACACTTCTCAATGTTGAAACTGGTATTAAACTACAAAAAACAAAGCCACAGAACACAGAGGAACATACCTTCTATGAAGATAAACTGTACCCAAAAAGCTGCAAATGCAATATTGCTTAAATAAGCCCATGATCACTCACAACATTAAAGTTCCTCTATAGCTAAGGCACACCACACTAACATGCCCACATTGCTCCCAAACCTGAAGCTGAACGCAAGAGATTATTCTACTGACTTTGACTAATTTTTGTTGTTGTTCTGCAAAGTAGCAGACATAGCTAAATTTAGGCCTAAAAATTATGTTGGCCTCAATCTGAAATTCACAGGGAAAGACTGGGAATGAGTTTTTGCTCATTCCATTCAAAATTTGAAACACTTAAAATAAAATTAATGTTCAATTTTATAATGATAACTGGCTCTCTATATATCAACTCCTTTAATGCAGACATCAGGCAGGTAGGACCTGTAGTTATTCCCATTTTATAGATGAGGAAGCTGAGGCACAGATATTACATAACCCATATCACAGAGCCATCCATGTCTATTCAATCCCAAGCAGCCTGCCTGGCTCCAGTGTCCACCTTGAACTACTCTCCTGTGACATGGCAATGCACAAGGGTCATCTTTTGGAATCAGAAAGCTGCCACAGGAACATTATATAAACAGAGTACACTTTTATTCTCCTTGTCAAAAAATTACATTTATTTCTACTTTATGAACATGAGAATTTAGTGCAGATTTTTTAAAAAACTTAAACCTTAAACATTTTACTTACAATTTAAAATTTTTTTAAGAAAATACAGAAAAAAAAACTCCCTCATTTATCAGAAGGGTAGAAATGTTAATTGTCATCCTTAACAAACAAACAAAAAAGACCACAATGAAAACAACTTTAAATTTTCTACCAGTGAAGGTCACCATATTTATAGCATATAACCAGCTAATAGCTAAAGTTAAGTTTTGGGTACTATTTACGTAATTGGAATATCTATTACATATTATATTTATATTATGATATTTTCAGTTTATTTCTACTCTGTAGAAATGTCAAAGTTTGGTGTAGCAGAGTATAAATAATGAAAGCATTTTATAAACTTTGGCAGAGTTAGAGTTAGTTGCCAAAGCCAGGGTGGTAATCCTTAGTCGCATCCCTCAGGGAAACCAAAAATAGTCCTCTAAGTCCACCCAAGATCACCCCCCCAACACACTGGCATTAAGAAACAAAAACATAAACAAACAACAAAGTGGACTCAGAGTATTCCATATACCTGTAAAGAAGTATGCACAGGTGGGGCAGTTTAGAAGAGTTCATTCCCCAAAGGCAACAACCTGCCTCAGGGTCCATTTCTTCCTCTTTTCCGTCTAATTTTAATAAGTAATTTTACAATTTATAGCAAATCACTGGGATATTTGGTGATTCTTTTTGCTTAAGGGTCTAAAATTAACTGAAGTTCAAAAAGCAAATACCTATTAACAAAATCAGACACACCAAAAGGTAACAATTTCCATATTTACTACAGAATGAATGTTACAAGGAAAAATAAACTGCAAACACAAACATCCAAACAAAAAAGACATAAAAATGAGTTTCTATCCTAAGCAGCAGTGGCAAATCGTATTCTTTTGTACTCAAGCTGAATTTGCAGTTGCATAAAAGAAGAAAAGAGACAGAGAGGCACAATCCTGGTCTTGCTGGAGAAGTCCTGTGTGGCCAGCCAGCTAGGGGACTTTGATTTCAAACCAGGCACTTTGACCGACACCGTTATTAAAAGGCTGTGGACTGGAAACGTATTTTGGTCATTAGCATGCAAATGAGCCAACCAAGTGTCCCAATTTCCTTGTATAATTCCATTTATCTACATAGGAGAGCTCTGGGAACTAACCAAAACCTTCAGGGGGTACTTAGATATACAAAGATTTATGATACATGTGTTTGTGCCTGTCTATACACACATTAAAGACTGAAGGCTTTTTCTGATATAGTAACTCCCTGGAGAAGCCAGACAAAGAAGAGTAAATACTTGAAGTTTCTTCCCAATGGGACCACAATCCACTGCAAAGACTCACCTTTGGGCTTCTTCTTTTTGCTTTTCTAATTCTAGGATCTTTCGTTCCTGTTCTTTCTGTTTCAGTCGTTCAGCCTCTATGGACTTTTGCTTCTGCAGTTGCTGCTTATTATGTATTTCTCTTAGTTCCTATAAATGATCAAGACACCATTTATGTAATGAAATGAGGGGACAGGCATTAACTGTTTATCAGCATGCAACATTTCACAGTGGGGAGCCTAGGGCACTTAGGAAATGACATTCAGGGCTGAAGAACATTAACTTGGAAAACAAAACTCTCTCTACATTTGACATGACTGATCTCCAAAGGCTGCTCAAGATTACATTCCAATGAGCCACAACACATTATACCGCTTCTCATGATTTGATCTAGAAAGAACTTGTTCATGGGGGCCAGTGGAGGAGCTATACTGACAAAGGCTCAGTGATAACAGTGGAAACGTAACCCTTTTTATTTTTTAAAATTTTTCTTTTCTTTTTTTTGGTACCAGGGATTGAACCCAGGGGCGCTGAACTACTGAGCTACATCCTCAGCCCCTTTTTATTTTTGTATTTTGAGACAGAGCCTCACAAAGTTGCTTAGGACCTCACTAAGTTGCTGAGGGTGGCTTTGAACTCATGATCCTCCTGTCTCAGCCCCTCAAGCTGCTGGGGTTACAGCATGTGCCACCATACCCGGCAACTTAACCCGTTTTAAGACACTGTGATGTTCCTCAATAAAATCTTATGGTTCTGAGAATGAATCCTCACCTACTTTCACTGGCTTAGAAAACATACACACCTCTTCACACATTACCTCTATAAAACTTCTCCTTCTTATGACACTGCCTTATAGGAAATAGACAGCTCTGCTCCATGACCTTATTTCTTCCCCTACCCAAGTGTGTATTTTCCCTCAAATCATAACTCCTCCAGATCCTATTCTCTTACTAAATCCATGGATGAAGTTGCCAATGGCTTTTTTTTTTATTATTAGTTGTTCAAAACATTACAAAGCTCTTGACATATCATATTTCATACATTTGATTCAAGCGGATTATGAACTCCCATTTTTACCCCGTATACAGACTGCAGAATCAAATCGGTTACACATCCACTTTTTTACATACTGCCATACTAGTGTATGTTGTATTCTGCTGCCCTTCCTATCCTCTACTATCCCCCCTCTCCTCCCCTCCCCTCCCCTCTTCTCTCTCTACCCCATCTACCGTAATTCATTTTAAACTAAACCAGAAGTCAGGTTGAAGGTAAAGAGGTCATTTGATAATGATCTCCTTGGATTAGATTTCCTCATTTGATACCAGTCCCAGGAATAACCTTAATTTCCTTCCCAGACTACTGAAAATAAAATGCATTCTATGACACTGAATCACAGGTTTAAACATTCAAAAGAATCCAAAGAAGAATAAGAAAACAATTGTTGAGGGGGAAACCTGTTCCATAGGACTCCAATGGTCATTAATAGATTCAGCCACCAAAACTCCTCTTACTTGGGTCAACAATAGATCAGGTATGTCAAAGTTGTAGCTCAGTGGTAAAGTGCTTGCCCAGCATACAGGATGTTTTGTTTTGGGCAGTGCTGGGGAATTGACCCAGCTCTGCTGGGGGTGGGATGCTCAGTAGAGTCAGGAATGCATTTCTGGTTGACTCCTCAGTCTTTCTAATCAGAGATGGTGCTCCCAATGGGCAGCTTGGGGTCAACATAGTGAGATTTGGGATTAAGGCCTGCCCTGTCTTCTATCATTTTGCTCTCAGGTAAATCTAAATGGGCAGTTTTCTTTCAGGTTCCCTACCTTTAGATTTGTTCTTGATCAACAAAGAGAGATTATCTGTAGCAGGTCAATGTTTAGAAAAAAGCCCCAAGCATTAAACTAACCTTTTCTTACTAGACTGTTACAAGAATAAAGCTGGAATGTATATACAAGTGTTTTGGAAACTATAAAAGGCTTTGAGAGGCTTAAAAGGGAACAAAGAGATACAGAAAAAACTGGAGATTAGAGGAGTGTGGGAAGAAGGTACTGGTAAGGAGAGAAATTGGAGAAAAGGTAGAAGATAGGAAGAAAGGAAGGGCTTTGTGGAAAACACAGCAGACAAGCCCAGGAACTTTCAGGCAGGACACAGCAGGGACAGGTAACTCTTAAGGTGAAAATTGAAAGGCTCTTTGCTATGGCAGCAGCCTTGGGTACAGGGCTTCTGAATCAGAAAGGGCACCTGGGACAGGAGCTCAGCCAGTGATGGGGCAGAGGTTGTCAAGAATGGAGACTGAAAATTAACAATGTAGCCTCACTCAGACAGTTCTGACTGCGAGGTGAAAGCCAACTCTAGAAAAAAAAGAATTCCATTGTTCATTACCCTCCTCACTGCCTTATTGCGGAACGTTAAACTTAATTTTAATGTGTTAAAAATTCAGTCATATTAGTTTTCATAGTAATTTGGAATCAAGAATAAATAATAATCTCTAATTAATGAGAATGAAAAATCTGGTTAATATTTTGAAGAGAAACAAAATGAGCCAAATCCTGTTGTTAAGAATAATCTGCTCAAGTCAGTAAATCTGCATGAAAAGGGAAACTGGAATGGAGTGATACTAAATCAAACTCTGCCCTAAGGGAGAGATCAGAGCCCAAAAGTCAGCACACGCAAATAGGAAAGACCTCATCTATCATTAGTTCAATGGCAAAGACCCTTTATAAGGAAGCATAAGTCACAGAAAGATCCAATTTTTCCTATTTGAAATTTCATCCTTAATAACATAGAATTCATACATAGATCCTAAAATAATTTATTGTTAAAAAAAAAAAAAAAAAAAACAGCCCTGTAACTACAAGGTCTTGAGAACCAAGACATCTGGGTCCTAATACCAGGCCCCTGACATGGGCCAGCAGCTGAATCACAGAGTAGATGATCTTTAGGGTTTATTTTAGTTCCAGGAACGGTTGTATTCTCAGACAGTATTCATCACATGAAAATGTACTCTTAATTTACATCAGTGTCTCTTTAATTAGGATGTTATTCTTACTGCAGGAATAAGCCAAAAAGCAATGAACAAAATAAACATGAGCTGAAATCAAATACAAAAGACAAGAAATGATAGAGAGGAATACAAGTTTAGTTTACTGTTCAAGAATCTTTACATATTTTTAAAAAGTTATTTATTCAGGAGAAATGTATTAATAGCAGTGATATTAAAGATATTTAGTAAGAGGTACAGCACAACCGGAACATAGACTGCCATGTGCCAGGTAGTCATGGGCACAAATGAAGATGTTTCACTTTTCCTAAGAATCACACTACACATTTCCTCCCTATACTGAGCTCTAGTGACTGGATGTGGATTGGTAAATTAATTTCCAGATACAGTCAAGACAGATGGAAATAAAGCCAGTAATCTGTTAGGAAGTGCTACAAAATGAAAAAGTAACAAGAAGTGAATTTAAAGAATCTACAGAAGAAATTATGCCAATGAGACAGTTTAAAAAACAATTATTTTTTTTTAAATTTTGTTGAGAGAGAGGGAGAGTCTTTTTTTGTAGATGGACATAACACAATGCCTTTATTTTTATGTGGTGCAGAGAATCGAACCCGGGTCCCGCCTGTGCTAAGCGAGCACTCTACCGCTGAGCCACAATCCCAGCCCAACAATTATTTTTAAATGTATCAAATATATGAAGGAAGAAAAAATTTAAAATGTATTTATTTCTGAGCATAAATAGGTTCAGCACTATAGCACAGGTTGAACCTATCTTTGGAACTACCTAAATAAGTTGCTGCTTCAAGTACCTCCAAGGAAATGGAACTTGTGGGAGCCATAAAATAACAGATGTCAAAGAAGGTAACAGAAGGCTCTGGCAGCTTAAAATCCAGATTTGAAGACTGAGAAGATTTTCAATTATTTTCTTCATCCAAGTTAAACATTGCTGGGATACACAATCGATTTTAAGGCAATGGAGGTGATCTTATAGCAGGACTGGCAAGCATTCTGGGTCTTCTTTATCTTTGGACTTGAGAGTTAGATGGTACAAACCAACATGGGGAAAACATTTATAATTTTACGATGATAAGGTTTTTCAGAAAGTTGAACTTCTGAGAAGGTAATCTATAAATGCCAAACATGTACTAAAAACTAGTGAATGGCTTTCGTTCCTTGGCCATAACAAAGCCCGTTTGGAACACTGAGTCCTTTCACACAGGGTGGCAGATGGCTGCATTATTCTCCCACTATTTTTCAATACTGTTAAAGAGACTGAAGTCCAATTACAATTATTATTTAAAGGCACTTTTTAAATTTTTTTCAGGGAAAAATATTTCAAGGTGAGAAACAAGTCTGGTGTCATTAAATTGCTTAATTATGTAGGAAATTGGTGAATTTATTATTGGGAGAAGTAAATAAGAAAAATTCTAACACACTAAATATAATAACTTCTCCTAGTGGGAACCTGATTACAGTGATCCTGCAAATTCTATTAAATGCCCATATACTTTGTCACAATTATGTCTCTACTACAATAAAGGCAAAACGAAACAAAGAAACGACTAAGAATTTAAAAAATCAGCATTTCCTTCATGGCTCTTAAGAAAATTAAATTAGTTTTTCTAAAGCCAATCCCTCTACAATCACACAAATATGGTTGGTTATTGCTATAAGCATACAACTTTATTGATTTTTCCTTAGTAAGGTCTACTCAGGGGTATGATACGTTTGTTTACATTAGTTATAATGGGTAATAATTGAACATTGTCTCCCAATTAAGTATAATTGCTTTCTTAATAAATAAGAGATCATTAAACAAGCACTCAAGAAGAGTAAGCTACATGTTACAAACATGGCAAAAAGGGGAAAATTATATAATATATGGTATATATAAGTTATAATAGTAAGTTTAAAAAAAAAATTATTATGAGATAGGGTCTTGCTATGTTGTCCAGGCAGGGCCTGAACCTCCTGAATATCTGAGACTAGAAGCATGTACTAACTATGCCCAGCTTAAAATAATAAGATTTTTATCACCAATAACATGAACAGATTTTTAAAACTATAGATTTGAATTTCTTAACCAAAATCCATGAAAAAGCTTTGGCCCTATTTTAAAAACAACTTGCCAAATTTGGGGTATGTGGGCATTTTTCTG